CCCTCAGTCACATTTATAAGAATGCCAATAACGTGAAAACTGTCGGCCGTCACGTCGTGTTTAAAAAGGTGTTGACTGTAGTTTGAACATGTAGTTTCTACAACGTCATTTGTACCTTTACAATAATGTTGATTTTATCATCCATTCTCCGCTTGTCCAAAAGATCCTTTCACACTTTTGAGCCTTGTTCGTCTTTGGGAGTCGCACCGCTCTCTCGTTTTTCTTATTGGAGAAAATGTGACCAGCGAGACTGCTTTCTTGCAGTACGAATGTACCTACTTTAGATAGATTCGTACCAGTCTTAATAATATGTACCATTGGACTCTAATGCTTTATTATCCACTTAACCATCTCCATATCTGAGAACTCACCGACTGAATAAAGGATTAAATGTGATGCTTGGCTTATTCCATGCTTGATGGACAATAATGGTGACCACTCGAGTCACTCTCAATAAGTCTCCTGTTTCAAAATATCGATCGTTATCTCAGTCAGTGACTGTTGCCTCAAATTCTGGCTGCCTCTTTCCACTCGCTTTTCTTAACAATGCGGAACATTAATAATGTGTAGCCGGCAACAATTCAAGCTTGATGATGACTGGCTGACTGGCTGCATTTTAATATTCAATAATTCATCCATCTCACCAATTCTTTCAGATCAGACTCACTTTATCGGATTTTTCTTTCTTGTCCTAAATTTGAGTCTTTCTTTCACTCAGCGTCTCTTGTATCCTTTTAAAGAATGGACTTGAGACAGACGCTAAAAACTAATTCAAAACAAAGTGAAGCATTTCCATTTTAAAATTTTTTATCTCCAACTATCGGCTAGTCAACATTATGTGATGAACAGCAAAGGCATACGCAATTGAGTAGAATCAAGAGCTACGTAAAAGGATTAGAAATCTTTAAGACGACAAATTCACAATAGCACACGTCAACTGAAATCAGAACACTTTATGTGCATTTGTATAGATAAATACGTACATACATGCATAGCCATTTAAAAAATGAAATGCAAGTGATTTAATGGTTGAATAGAGTCAAGATGCCTGATTAAAGCCTGTTTAACAATATCCTATCATAATGATTGTTCTAATTGCACAATTGCTTTCACGATTAGTTAAGTGTACCGATCAGACTTTTTTCATTGTGTCAATGGTTAAATGCCTGTGAGCAATTTAATTTGAAAAGAAATTCACTGTCTGAATATAATGTTTCTAAACCAAGTAAGTACTTTGAAGCAAATACTAATGAATTATCAAATGAATTTCATCACTCTCGTTGACTGGCAAGCAATTGCAATACCACCATTGGTATTTTAAATAATTAGCTCTACGTGTTGTAATGCTGATAGCATCTTAAATTTGATACGTTGGAAATAATAATATTATCCACAATATTATGAAAGTCACAGTCTCATGAAAGTTTTATGAAAAACACACTATTCGCCATCAGCTGGATTATTTCTTTCTCAATAATTGTGAATGGGCAGATTTGGAAATGATACATTCCTTACTCCCATTATTAAACAGCTTCGGTCATCAAATGAACCGATCCATTCACAACAAACGTTTCGACAAAAGCTTGTCATATCAGGCCGACGCGTATTCTTCTGCGGAACTTTTGGAATTTTGTATTGATTTTACAATTTTGCAGACAATTCTTTTTTTTGTCAACGACTCTCTTGTTACGTAGTGAGACTCAAAGACTTCCGAAATTCTTTCATCGTTCAAATCTAACAACTGACTGAGGGTTATGTTGAGTGAGGTATGATGTGGTGTGGCATTGAGTACTTAGTTCCATGTTATGTGGCACACTTACATAATACGGTAATGAGTCCCAATTGTTGAGATTTTTGGGATATTGCACGTGTTTCATTCTCTGAAACTCTGCGGAAGTTGGAATTCAGCATGTACATATATGTATTTAGTAAATAGGAAAATATACTCAACTTCCTTTCTAAGATTTCCGACAGAAAGTATGGTTTTGTGATATCGAGTAAAAAATGCATGTTGCATGCATTTTCGAAAAGGCTTTTCCTGACCTTGTGCTTACATTTAAGTATATAAATACGTATGCATGGCGTTAACATGACTTCCCTGTGGCAAGGACATGCACTGCTTGTTAGAGTTTTAAATGTTTTTATTAATGAATATGGGAGTGGAGTGGGAGTGGTTTTCTCTGCCCCACATTATCGTGCAGTATCTCAAGTTGGGCTAGAAATGATGACTTTCATTCTTCAAGTAAATGTGGAAGGTTGGATTGGGTGTTGGCAGATCGAATTCGTGAAACTCGCTCGCTCGCCTCCTTTCGCCACAACGCAACGCAAGAACGTGTGTACGTTCTTGGCTCAAGTTTATTTTGTGATGGTTTTCGTTGTGCACACTTCTTTGCGATGATAACATGAATGAAAGTTAAGAAAGGCTGAGGATGCATGTAAAATATTTTTGATTTTATGATTTCTCTTTCATTGCGACCCGGTCATGGTTCCTCCTCCCTGCGATATGTTGCACGCCCTGATAACCCGCACCAGAGAGAGAAGAATACGTATTACATGCATACTTGCATCAAAACTCATACATACACTGCTAAAAAAAACTTGAACTACAGAGCCCATAGAAAATTCGGATGGATCTTTACACGACCAAAAATAATATAAATGCTTCTTGGTTCCATTTGAATTCTGGTTAACGCCTTTAACTATTCAACTTTTTCATTCTGAATTTTTACATTCTCCATCCAACCAAACCCAAGTGAATTATTATTTGAACACATGTACCTTCATGAGCTAACAACAACTGGGGAAAGAGATTTTAATGGATTGGATGGATGGAGGTGCGACTATTTGGTCTTTTAGATCAACCTCCTTTGAATGAAATCATGTTCGCACCCTGCAACTCATTAAACTATTGCACGTCCCATTTCATTCCAATTGCCCGAATCTGTTTGGTTATATGATTTCATAAATATGGACCTGGGTGATATTCATGGTCTCGTTTGTGCAGATCGGGCAGCAGGAGGAGGCAGATGCGGATATGATAACGGCCTATGAATAAATCAAACTTTTGAAAAAGATATGTCGCGTTCAGAAATAAAGCACTTTTGAAAAGAAAGACAGTTTAGCCAGGCGCATGGATAAAAAATTCTCAATGAACGACATACATATATGTGTACAGGGTACATATATGTATGCATGCGTACATTACATTATACATATGCATAAATGTATGTTTGTACAGTAAGGCATGCATAGTAAATAGGTTGGATTTAGTAAAGGCTGCTAGTACTTATTATATTGCAAAAACAAATTTTGAATTTAGTCTACATCACATAGTAGAAGCATATTTAGTACAAATTTATACAATTGAGACGGAAAAATACGATGCAGACAAAAGATGAAATTGATGTACAAATCTTTAAACGTCAAAAGACTTGGTCCTTTGGTTTGGCTACATAATCGTAGTGAAATTACTCCCAATTTGGATTTGGGTGAGTGAATTTGGGTCCCTCCACATTATTGCGCGATAAAGGACGTCGTAAATTTTCTGCGTGGCTGCTGCGGGTTGGTGAAAGCATAATAAATACATATAAATGCGGTCAATCCTTGTGCGTGGCAGTAGCGATTAGTAACATTGTCTCCTTTATTATTTCCCATTTGTGGAAAATTGAATGCTAATAAGTCAAACGAAGCAAATATTGCTTTTGTGTGAAGACAAACACATGAATGCTAATCACCAATTCATCAAATTATTTCCAAATCAGTGGAATTCCTAGAAATATTCCAGCCAATTAAACTTGTCTAAATCATTGTGTGTCTCATGCAGTGATTCTTCTCTTCATACATAAATCGGGGTAAATACATCGTCAAAATCCACATGATGGTTAGCTTCAAATTGGGATTATGCAATAAAATTAAGGATAGTTCAATTTGTCTTATTTATTTTTCCAATCCAGTTAGTCTGCTATCCTGTATCCTGATTAGCTTTTCTGTGAAGGGGGTAACATGATTTCATGCTTATAAGCTGTATACCTGTTTACATATGGGATGCAATCAGAAATTATTTTTGAAATATATTTGCTTACTTTAAATTAAATTTATACTGGGTGAGTATGTAGTATTATAATCGAACTTCCTCAAGTGTCAAGGGTACTAAACAACTGGAAAGACTTTATAGTCTGTTCTACAATTTAAACGATTAATTTCAAATGTAAACAAATGCATCGTGTATTGTTGGTAAATAGATACCAACCATTATCTAATGACAATATTTTAAAATTCAATATTTGCTCAAGCAGAAGAAACCATCGTTTTCAATTCACGCGAGCTCGTAAAATGATTTGATCATTATTTGATCAGACATGAAATGGTTGAAATAATTGCATCTCATTTTGCCCTTATTCCTCGTTTTCTCGTCCATTTCCTCATTATTCATTCATCTCACAGGGTCTGCAACTCGGAAACATTGCATGCAAATAAATGCTGATACGAGCTGCATCAATACATTTATGTACATAATCGTAACACACGAAGACAGTTGAAACCAAATTATTCCCTCTGCAAACGAGACAGGAACTGGACTACTGCTGCTGGATTACATTTTTTCATGCCTGCCATTTTAATTCCATTCGGAAGTATGAATAAATTTAGTAAAACAAGGACGCAGTATGTACTTGTGTATTTGTGTACTAGTTTTTCGTGGAATGGTTAAACTTAATTCAAATCATCAGATGAACAGGCAATATTTGGCATATTTTTGATAAAACTGTTTAAATAATAAAAGTTGTATTTTTATTTACGAATTTATTTAGCTAGAGTCAAACATGTGGGAAAAATGAAACACATTTGTCTTAATAAGTAAACGGGAGAAAATGAGACAAAATCGGACCAAAAAATTGTACCTGAAAATCTTTATGTTGTGTGCAACCGTATTTGACACCGATCCCTCGTGTGCCATCTGCACGGTTTGTTTGAACACTTGTTTCCAGGATGCAAGCCCCATGATTTCGCCCCGCGACTCCCGACTTCAACAACAACCACATGTCGGCTTTTTCCAAATTTGGTAACTCAAAGTGGTGCACGTTTTTTGAAAAAGTTTCAAAGCCGGGTTTTGCTGTCAAATTATGGGGCCTAAAAAGGAGGTGAAAGAAGAGCGACCTGTGCTCTTGGGTCGCGTCGGGACAAACTTGAAGGTTGGAATTGTTGGACTGCCGAACGTTGGTAAGTTTTCAAGATTTTATGTCAATATTGTCAATACACAATATGAGATTTTGTGATATGATATGAAATTATAATATGTAGGTAAATCTACTTTCTTCAATGTGCTCACCAAGTCTGCCATCCCTGCTGAAAATTTGTATGTACACGTGCAAAGTTGGAATGTACATAACCTATGAACTATAAATAATATATTTCTTGTGTATTTTATACTGCCAGCCCATTTTGCACCATCGATCCAAATGAAAATAAGTCACTTTAAACATTTCGTTATTATATATATGCGGTTTACTTCTTAGTTTGCTTTATGCATAATATGTAACTTGGGATTTGCATTACTCGTTGGCTGACAATGTTTTTTTTATTTTCCTGTACGTAGGGTAGCTGTTCCGGATGACCGTTTCGAGTTTCTATGCGAGTTTCACAAGCCTGCGAGGTAAGTTCATTTCGTACTCATATTTTGATAGACTTGCATATAATCCTACCATCCTGATTCTCTCACATAAATTTAATTGAATTAATATCATTTCCTAATCACATTGTTAATGGCAGGGGTCTAACGATATCTGTCATCTGTAGTTACATGAATAGTTTACTGCATGTGTACAATGTATTAGATTTTTTTGCGTTCGTCATTTTGTTGATGACCAATCGCCTAATGTTAGTGAGATTAAACTGCTAAAAGTAGTCTCGGTTAGTACAAACTGTGTAATTACTGCAAAACCAATTATTTTTAATGATTAAAAATTAAGGGGGTAGTGTAATTGAAGCTTGCATTAATTCAGAGAGCAGATTTGGTTAGGTTTCTAATTTGTTTTTTTTTGTATAGAGTATAGAATGTTGATTTGACATTTGGTGCGAATATCATTTCATATACGATTGTTTTCTGCCTGAATATCCATTGGGTTTGGCAATTATGATGACAAATATGCATCGAGGAATCAAACAGCTATACATTCGTAGCATGCAAAATTAGGTGTATCTTTCACTGGTCGTTGTTTATTCCTTAATTGCATATGAAAATTGATAAGTGCACTAAAATTTAAAATATGTATCACGTAATAACTTAACTACTTGGGTGGCATTAAAGTAGACCGGTTGGCATCATTCTTTTTTATCTCATATTTGGGCTGATTATACGTATCACCTGCAGCAAAAGTTCTGATTCATTTAGCCACACTGGAAATGTTAGCAAATATTAGCAACTTCTTTGTTGCATTAATAGAATAACATGGACCCTGCGTGGTTGTTGCAGTGAGATGTAGTGTGTGGAAAGTGTAAAACTTAATCTAAGGTACAAGCCCACCTCACTCATTTGATTTTGTTGCTTATCTTTTTTTGAGATTGGTTATCGTGTGTGTGAAAGAAAGTCCGCCCGTCCCACCGAGATCAATATTCACCTCAATTATTGGCTTACCCAGCATTTATGTACTTTAGAGGTTGCACCAAAAAGGAGTGTTTTGCGGTGGCGTAATTTTGTGAAATAGCAAAATAAATGCATCCTGTAAGACGCCAACCAACCGTTTCATATAATATTCCAAATTATAGGATTGAAACTCTTCCATATGGGTCTCTCTGTACATACACTTACATGTGTTGTAAAAACGAAAACCCGATTTCTTCCAATGTCGTGCTCAAAAACGGTGTGCAGTTCAAGTGATTGATATGTTCCCCATATTTAAATTCGCAAGTTTGTTAAAATTTCAGTGCTAAACTTGATTTTCAATCTTAATTTATTTCCGTTTTTCTGTAACCACAACTCATTGTTTGAAACAAAACTTTGCTTGCTTGTTACATGCAATTGGGAGATCTAGCCTTTCGAGCCGCGACTAAATCATTTCATGAAATAGTATAATAAGCATGAAAGGGTGTGGCTGTTGCCCGTTGCCACTCTGCTCTCTTCTCTGCCCAATTTTCGCTGGCCAGACTGTTTTCAGTAAAAATGTTTTGTGATTGTTTCTACTTTTACATTTATTACATTTCTACATACTAGGTGATCCAGCTTGTATTTCAGCTTAAATCAATTGGTCGACGGCTAATATAGCAATTAACCTGCGAAATGTATTCATGAAATGAATTAGATTTCCATCCATTTCGTATGAAAACTTTTTGAATTATGAATGATTTCTTGTTTTTTTTGGGGGGGGAGGGTTCTGTATTGCTACAAAATGCGAACTTTCTTTTAACTGCAATAATTATTAACTTTCCACGAAAGCAATTAGTCACATACAACATAATCTTTAAAGTCAAACTACAGGTGATCAGTTAAGTTGCGGATGAATGAATGTTAATTCGGAAACCAGCTTCAATTACTTGTGGGAAGATGGGCAGTCGTCCTGCAGCCACAAATGATTCGAATAATGATATGTTATTTTCTTTTCGAATTAGAAGAGCCACAGATTTAAATTTTTTCCTCGCATTTTTATTTCCAATGCATAAGTCCACCTGGTAGTCAGGTAGATGTGTAAGATCTTACATGAATTGTTCTTGCTGCAGTCAACCACATATTGCCACAACATTGAGGTTTTTCATCCTTGTAATTCAAAATATATACGCAATTCACCACCAATCCACTTAATGGCAGAGTGGTGCAAGTATTTTGATTCGATGATGATAGTTTTCATTTCTCTTCCAGCAATGGAAAGCTATTATCATTTTCTGTTATCACTACCTTCAAGTTTGAAGGGTCTCTTTCTCCCTCTCTGGCATGATAAACAAAAAATTTGAGTGGCCATTAAGAATTATTCGACTAATATTTATTATTGACGAATGGTTGCGCAGCTAATGTAGTAAGAACAAGTAATTTGGTTAGATACAAGCGATTAATTTTTTTTCCATCCATCCATGAGTATTGCTCATGGATGGAAGGAATGCATTGCGATATTACATGTACATCAAAATAACATTTTTTTTTTGCATAAATACAAATTGTATAGCTGGACCAGAAGTTGTGCAGAAAAACGGAAAAGCTATGATGGAGATGAATAACGTGACGAATTAATTACTTTCTAAACGTCCTTGTTGATTACATGTATGTAGTTCCTCCTGGCACTTGATGTGCTAACACGAACTTATCAATTATGAGGCACCCCTTTTTGTTGCTGCTGTTAGTTATTTCTCCATCCCACTACTTGCTCAGTTGGTATTAATTAGAGAGCAGCACTATCATTGGATGCTTCCCTCGTGTGTAATTAACCCCTTGTAATCGCTAATCGGAACATTTTAATCCATTGTTTGCTGAGTGTGGGTAAAGAGAACGGACCGTGTCAAAAGACACGAGTAGGTTGTACAAAAAAGTTCGTAATATTTTTTTACACTAGGTCCGCACAACTAAAGCATTCTACTGACAATTTCCTAACTCTGGATATGGGATGATCACCCAGTATGTAATTATCACGTATATAGGAGGTCGGTTTGATAGGCACATGTGAAAAAGCCGCAGCACACGAAGGAATTATTGTAATTCTTGTGACTGACAAGCCGGTACATTTCCCTTCAGTGAGTTGTTAGTTATCTAAAGTTATATCGCGCCTGTGTTCGCAGTATTAAATAAATAATTAATCAGGCACTTGGGCAGGACGTATAGTAATAACAAGTATCGACGCATCTGTCAGCATGCATTTTACAACGACTGGGTTTGCAAAATAAGCGAGCGTTCGCAGCACCCAAATTTCAAATATTGAATTTGCACGGATTTTTATTGGATCTCTTGGTAGCGTGGTTCATTAAAAGTTACACATTCAAGAATTGGATTAGACGTGGATGATACAAGTATTTATCTGACGAAGAGAATGGGGAAAGTTGCACGTAATATCGCGTGCGATCAGCTTCAATTTTGTCCTCAAGCATAAGTGAACTATTTAATAGGTAAAACTTGGAAATACTGGAATAGTTCTATTGTGTGTAAAACGAGATAACTTTTATTTTTCTAACATCCGTTAATATTTAAAAAATCTTGTCTCCCCACCTTCTCGTAACTACATTGATGAGGGCAAGGACTGGTTTTGAGCTACGTAAAACGAATGAGCCCATTTTTACATATATAATATTGCAATTGTTACATTATCTGGACACGCTATTATTTTCGAGTCTTAAAAATTCTCCTGCTGCTGTTTCATTTTTGCACATTTTTAATTTCAGATCACGATACTGATTATTTAGATCATTACACACATATGCATATTCAAATGCAAGATAATTTGTCCTTTCTAACAATAACAATTTTGCATACAATTCATGATTTATTTGCAGTAAAGGGCCTGCATATGTATCTTGGGTTCCAAACACCAATTTTGAAAACTAAAGCAACGCATTTTCATTTTTTGTGTTTCAGTAAAGTGCCTGCCTTCCTGAACGTAGTTGATATAGCTGGATTAGTCAAAGGAGCCTCGCAAGGTAATTTGATTCAAAACTTGTTTGCTCATATTTTTTATATCAAGATAAGCAGTGATATTAATCTTAAATATTGTCTCTCAAGGCCAAGGACTGGGGAATGCATTCTTGTCCAACATTCGTGCTTGCGATGCAATTTTTCATGTTTGTCGTAAGTTTGTGCTTGTTTTTAAATTTCCATTTAGAACGAATTGAGTAGGATGCTTTTAAGCGTGACATGTAATTCGGTACAAAGATGTGCATATATATTATGCGCGACCTGTTAAAATCAATATGGACCATAGTCTTGGTTAGACAGACATTACGAACTTGATTTTACGTGTTTATAAATCGTACTAATATTACAAGCTATTAGGGAAGAATGGGGTGATTAGGAAAGGTCAGACTCTAACCCGGCTGGAGTCAGGCAGAGGAGCTGACGTATGTGGGGCCAAAGGTCAGATCGAAATTTAAGTAGAACTCATTACTTTGGCTGGTTTTTACGACCATTTTTTGTCTCAAAGTCTCTCTTTCTGCTCCAGCCAACACAGGGATGCAAGAAGTATTTAAGAGTCATTATAGCTAGATTTTATGATGATTGCATATCGATCTCAATGTGAACATCCGTAGTTGAGCATCTCATCTAACTCAATAATAATTAGGCATTATTATTTTATTCCCCTTAAAGTGATACGCCTTTTTCGTAAAACAAGTTCAACCTCCTTTAAAAATTAGAATGTCCTGGTTTGTACCTGATTTAATATTCGCTGTTTGTTTTATATAAAAGAACTTTGAATTAATATAAAGCTTGAATTTTTAACCGCTCGGGAACACGAATAGGCGCGTTTGACGATACAGAAGTGATCCACGTCGATGGAGAAATTGATCCAGTTCGAGACTTGGACACAATTAGTGAAGAACTTCGACTAAAAGATGAAGAGTAAAAATATTTATTAATACTTTATGTAATTACTGGTGATAATTAGCTGATTACTTAACAATCCGCAATTTTTGTTAACCAGATACTTGTTGACAAATTTGGAAAAGTTGGAGAAGACGGCTGGTCGTGGAAATGACAAGAAGCTGAAGCCGGAATATGTAAGCCGTTCTTGTTCTTATTTTTTAAGTTGTACTGTAGCATAAGATTTAAATTCCATCTTTTTTAGTGTTAATTACGAAATAATTTCAACTTTCTCATATTCTCAATAACATAGTACAATTGGTGAGCCAGTTAGTCAGTTCATTGAGTGCATGCATTATTATACATATTATACTGTATATGCACGTTTTTTTTCTCTGCCATGAAATTAGAAAGAACATGCTCCCTGTGGAAAGGTGGGCATGGCTGACTGTTGATCAATTAAAGTTATAGCCACTTGGTGGGCCAGTGGCTAGTAAGACCAGCGTCAGGTAAAAAGTGGTAACAAGCTGTGAAGGAAGGTGTGTAAGATGCAAATGCTGCTAATGCTCACCCATGCTCATGTTCTCTAAAGGGCGATTTGTTTCTGAATTAACCAGCCTACATGCCGTTCATTGGCTTATTCCAGTGGCTGAGAGCTTCCTATTAGTTAGCCAGGTCCCTACTTTCATTCCGGTGTGTGTCCAATTCTAAAGTACAATGCTCCCTTTTCACGATTCCCATAAAATTTTACACCACAAACTTGAAGATTTTATGGATTTTATTTTTTATGAGAAACGTCAAAAATTCTTCTCCTATTTCATTTTTATTAATGATTTTAATTTTTAGGATGCATTATGCAAGATAAAAACTCATCTGGTAGATGAAAAACGAGCAATCCGCATGCATGATTGGAACATGGCTGAGGTAATGATATCGTTTTAATTGCCCATACATATGATGAGTATGGGTTTCATATTTTTAGCATTGAAGGAAAATTTATATTCCATAGGTTGAAGTGCTCAATAAACACTTGTTCATCACAGCCAAACCAATAATTTATTTGGTGAACTTGTCCGAAAAGGATTATATTAGGAAGAAAAATAAATGGTAAAATAATTCGTCTCAATTACCTCGCAGCAAGAATATCAACTCTATATGCATAATCCTTATTTCGTTTCTTACAGGCTTATAAAAATTAAAGAATGGATTGACAAAAACGATCCATCCGCCATTCTGATCCCATTTTCAGGGAGCTTAGAATTTAAATTAGTAGACATGCCGGACGACGAGAAAGCTGCATATCTCAAAGAAGCCGGAACGACAAGGTGAGAATGTGCTCTTTTTCATACACAATTTAGAATAACAGAGACAGGTTTGTATTTCACTCTGGAAGAAATATAGATAAAACTCTTCTTAATCATTGTTTCATTATAAATTTCCAATCTTTCTCATCCAGACAAATCCAACATGATTTTAATTTCTTTAATATAGCACGGTACTATTAGCACCTTTCTGAGACTGGATAGTTTTTTGTACAATTAGCCGAGATATGCACAAGGGTGGTTTGGTTGTGGAGAAATATTGTTAACATGAATTTGGAAAGTTCATGAAAAATTAGCCCATTCACCAACCAACATGACTTGGGTTTGAGAAAACAAACTTGAGGGCTGAGGAGTGAGTGAAGGGGGGATAATATTATGTGGAACGAAAAGTACGTCTGTCTCAAGATTCGTTTACTGGTAACAAAGAGTCATTATGGAATACAAGTCCTGGCTGACTGAAGAGAAAAACATTGGCAAGTATCATAACATATAATTTGGAGTCACATTATTTTCTCTCGTGTGTGATTATATTTTGGGGGAAGTAGTTGTTGCCGTTCGCTCCGCTCAACTTGGAGTTTTTCATGCCATTAAATGATATGCATGTCTGGAATTCTTTACAAGATAAGGTTTATGAGTCTCTCCAGTCATACCTCTTATTATTATACACCTTCTGTTTCTGCCCTCATTTTCTCCATTTTCTCGACTCGCATACGTACAAATAGCTCGTTTTTATTATATATACTATTATCTACGACCACTACTGCAGTAATATTCCATGTGGAAAGGTAATTTCATATAAAGTCGTAGTAGCACAGGACTGCTGGCGGTGGTGCAGTAGCATAATATTCCTCGACTAGTTGTTAAAAATTCAAACTAGCTACGTACATATGCAACGAGGAGCAATAAATGTTAACAAAATTCTATTAAAATTGTTCGACCTACCTGAGTTTTTGATTCTCAGTCAGCAATTTTGTCTGTTGATGAAAAAATTACTCTGGGCGAAGACTAGATACTCCTGAGCAGCAGCATTTATTTTGCTTCAGGCAGGCAGGCGGGCAAGAATCGTTATGTTATGCGGTTAATGTTGAGGACACTTTGAAGTGGTATTGAAAGTTTGGGAGGGGATATCAATATAATCTCCTTTTCAGTTTCAGGATTCTCGTCTCTGCAAATTATAGACATTAAATCTAACCAGAAAACCCAACTGGAAATTAGATTCATTGAATGACTAGTAATTTTGACAGAATCACTTCAATCTGTTCCTCAGAATGCATAATTCTTTTGGGAGGATTAATAGGAGGGAGGATGCATGTTATTGGGCTGAAATATGGGATGGACTGGGCTGCTGAAACAATTTCCAGTGGTCTTTTAATTGTAGTTGAGCATAAACTTGTGAGATTAATGGAATTGGTCGTTGAATCATTATCATCGTTTATTGGTATTTCATGGGAAATTCCATGCAAATCATTTTTAAAATGTGAATGCATTTTTTCGTTTCATGTGACGATGAGTCTGCAACTGTCGGAAAAATTGGCCTAGTCTATGGCCACTTTATTTTTACTATCACATATCTCCGTCCACTCTAAAAAAAAGTCAGTTGGTGTCCTTGTAAATAGGTAAAAATGAATCTTGGAATTGGACTCATTACAGGATGATCCCTCTGTCGATGATGTTGTTTTTAATGTGAATGTCGTGAAGTGCAATCGGAGTAATTGAACAATTCTGACGGTAGTCGTTAGGGTTGTGCGTGATTAGAATTATTCATTGTTTCTGCATATGAATCATTATTTTATCGCCGTGTGTATACATTTTTTACTTATAAATCACGCATAAAATTTGACTTGTGCAATAATCGCCAGCCAACAAAGAAATATAGTATTTTACAATCCATACTAACAAGTGAAACTATTAGTATGTACATGGGCGAAGTTTGAAGTTAATACACTAAACGTCTTCATACATATATGTATTGTATTCAGCAATTTATGTATGCACGTATATGTACATAAGCATATCGCTTGATCAGCCTCGTCGATTACTCTGAAGATATTCAGCTAAGCTAAAAGTTAATTACAACTTAATTATTATGTTCGAAGACTTGTATATGTCCGGCTGAGTTGAGTAATGGGCAACCGGAAACCAAATATTTAATTTCCATATAATGTATGCAAAACGACCAAAACGGGTAGTAGAACTATGATAATAGTAGTAGAAAGGAATGTCATGTGCAATACAGGGGTGGGACAGAAGAAGGAGCCACTTGAATTTTAGGGGTGGCGTGTGATGCACAGTCGCGGCATTTTCAAAATTTGCATATGTCATACCCAGATAGTTAACGAAAATTTAGCACTATTCAGATTTTCCCTACGGTTAAAAATGCCCCTGCAGCACCCCCCAGAGTGCGAGGCACGCATAAAAGCATAAAAGTGTTTTCCAAAGACATACTGAGCCAGAGAGCGATTGTTAGAAAATTTGCTGCAAATGGATTTATCGTCGATCGAAAGTACGTTTCTAATGTACTTAAAAACGTTGGAATCAAGCGGAGGGAAAAAGCGGTTAGAGCTCCACCCCCACGGAAAGGATACCCAAGATCCGCTTGAACCAAAAAGTTTATCCGGAAAATCAATTTTTCGCCAAAACGGTAAATCCACCAACTAAAAGTTGCATGGCGAAAATGTTAAACGTTAGTAGGAGAACATTTCTAGAGTCATTCACAATGACCTACAGCAAGTGACTCGTAGGAAATCCCGAGATCATGCTCTCATCCCAACTTATTTCTCACAAAATATCAGCCTACACGAAGGATTTTAAAAAAAGTTTGGGTATAACAATTATTCCTACTATAGAAACTCTCGTTAATTCCTCTGATATCAATCCGATGTTTTTTTTGGATTCGAGTACTTAAAACAGAGCCTTCTTGAAAGGAAAACGCGTGCGTTTTGATTCACTTTGGAAAAGTGTTCAGGACGAGTGGTGCAGAATCACTCTGAAAATTGTGTCAAAGGTCATGACTGGTTGGAAAAAGCGACTGAGGCTCGTTAGATAAACTAAAGGGCTTCACACTGAACCAATTACCAAACTTCACAAACGAATAATAAGGCCGGAATAAATTTAGGCAAAGTGGCTCCTTCTTCTGTCCCACCCCTCTGTATAACTTGTAATCAATGACCTGTACATAAAATTAGCTTTGTGCAACATACGGTTTAAATGAAATTATGATTCTTTTAACAAACTTAAGATCGTTTAATTTTTGCTTAGTTCCTTGGACAAGATAATTCTTCAGGGGTACAAGGTACAAGAGTTAGCACCTCATATTTAAGTGTAATGATGTAATTTCTAAAACTATGAAATATTTTTTTATAAGGCTTTGCAGCTGATGTACTTCTTCACTGCTGGTACGTGAAAATCTTTTAATAACACAAATATAATCATATAATTTTTAATCCTACATTACTAATTCAAACGATTGTATTGTTATTATAGGTGCGGATGAAGTAAAAGCATGGACGATTCAGGTAATGCTACACACACAAACCCTTGGAAAGGGACGTTATTTTCTGAAGAATATGTAACTATTTACATAAACCTATAAATACCACTTTCAGAAAAACACCAAAGCTCCCCAGGCCGCTGGAAAAATTCACACCGACTTTGAGAAAGGATTCATAATGGCTGAAGTCATGCCCTTCAAAGATTTCAAAGAAGAAGGGTCAGAGGCTGCTTGTAAAGTGAGTAACTATATTAAATTGACGTACTTCTTGAGATAACTAATTTATTGAAATATTTAAACCAACTATAAATAATTAATATATTTTATCATTGTTCTTAGGCTGCTGGGAAATATCGTCAACAAGGGAGAAATTATATTGTGGAAGATGGAGATATTATATTCTTTAAATTTAATGCAGGTGCTGGTCTTGCGGCACCAAAGAAAAAGTGAAGCGTCGACCAGAATGCTGTTATTGTTGGTTGTTATAATTGATTGATTGGTTGATTATTGAGTGAACCACGTGAAACTGTTTACATTAATCTGTTATTTTAAGTTTTGTATTCAACATCATGATTGTTTAAATACAATGCTGACAAAATTTGCAACTCTCAAACCCATTACAGACTTTGCGTTTGATATTTATTTCATATCTAAAACTCGGCATGTTCACCTCCTCTCAGTGCTAATACTAAATGAAGAACAGACCCCCCTTGCACCTTGTAGTCGGCTGCGGTCTTTTCGTCATTCCTGAATTGACATGAAAACAGAAATTCAAACTTTAGAAAAATTGGACCATAACAGATATAGTGAAATTAAGCAAAATCATAAACTTACATCTGCTTTCCGGAAAAGATCAATCGTTGCTGCTGTGGAGGAATTCCTTCCTTTTCTTCAACTCTTTCCTTGATTCTCTCCACCTTGTCTGTTGGTTCGATGTCAATTTCAATCTAGTTGACAAATTAAGTAATTTAATTAATTTTACACGCTATTTGTGACAATATTGTTTGTGAACTATACTTACTTCTTTCCCAGTCAAAGTCTGAAACAAAAAACAAACTTCAAAATTTAACAACAATTAGGAACAGGGTGTCTTCAATTGTGAATTGTAATTACCTTCACTTTAATCAGCATTTTGACGAATTTGATTTCTTACTTGATAATGAGAAAGTCACAAAGTCCTCTCGTGTGTACTCTGAATCAGAATGAAAAACAAAAAATTAGCTTAAAAAACATTCCATTATATTGAGTCGCGAGTTTGTAGAATTATGAATAATTCATAATTCTGAATATAAGAATTATTATTATATTCAGTGTTCATATTTATTACAACTAAAAGCAGACCACGGTGGTCTTACACTCGCTAAGGATAAGTTAGAAAAGTTTATCTCATTTAATTGACTTACTTGATTATGAGTAAAAGTGACGATGGATTTCGTAACCTCAAACTGGAAACTAGAAAATTTTAAATAATTTAAGTTAATTATTCATTTGTTGTGCTCACAAAAAATTCAGTGTTCAATTAGTCAGTTGATGACATTTAATTTTGTGTTTTGTTTCTATCGCGAGCGTTGAGTTTAAAAATACAAAATAGCGGCGTTCAAGAAATAAACTTGACGTGATTCTCCATTGTTGGGCCAGAGAGCGCTTTCCCCCGCAAGGAAATTCTCTCCTCCTGCAGAGGGTGCCAAGCGTTTCATACATGAAAATTTGGGACTTGCTTTTATTGGTGAGACGAGATCATTATTGTTTACGATAAAATGAGACAAAAGCACCAATAATTCGGGAGATGAGTCATATTTTGGAAATGACCACTCTGACAGGCTGTCTCAATATGTCCTTATGTAATTGAGCCAGTATAGAAAGATGCCAGATTTTTCTATAATACATTTTCTTTAAAAAAATATCAGCCTATCACCCTGTTCTCACATTTCTCATGAGAAATGGGGAAGGTTAACGATAATGAGGTTTGAGGAAACGATCATCAAAAGAAAGTAGCGATCGGATTATCACACACGGTATATAAAATCCTTATATTGATCAAACTTCCGAAAACAAAAGCAATTATATCATCCTGAGAGAAAGCAGTTGGGCGAAGGAGGGTGGAAACATACCTGAGAGTTGAGAGAGAAAGGAGGAATCTCATTTTGTCAAAGAAGGAAAATGGACTGTGGGCTCAGATTGTAGGGAAAGTGTAGCCCCAAATACTAGACACTTGTCCTTTCTCATGATACCGTGATTGATTCAATAAACGTCATTCTTGTGCTCGCAATCTCTGAACCTTAGGTCGATAGAAGGAAAAAGAATTGCATTTTTCCTCCTAAATAAATAAGTGCCTGTGCAAGTAAGATGCTCGTGATTGTGACGGACTTTCACGGATTAAGTGAAAGTTCTCAAGAAATCCATAAATGTGCAGGCGAGGTTTGATTCAGTTTATGCTTTAGCCAGGCCAGACTGGACTTTCACTTATGTCGATATTCTCAAACCCCGTAGAAGAACTGCGACGTTGGCGTTGTTGTTTATGTAAACAATTGTATGGCGTTCGCATTTTATATCAGAAGTGAGTAGCAGGTCTCCAGCATACTATGCAAGTAAATAATGAAGAAGGAGCCGAATGAGTAGTGATTCACCTTCCAAATGCCTGAGGCATTGCTTAGTGCTTTGCTTATTTGATCCTATACGATGCGATGAGGTGAGTGAGGCGTTGTATGTAAGTGGATACAAAATATTACGCGATGTTGCATGCAAGAGCATTGTTACTGGACTGGCCGGGAGTGGCTGTTTTTATAGGGCGCTATATCTACAATGCATAATCCCGGTCGAAATATCACCAACAAGCATCGTCAACAACCCACCTTCAGTTAAAAATATATACAGCTCTCTCCACACTACTCAAACTATCCATTGTTCAGAAACCGTCATTCTCTAAATATCGCTTGTGCTGCCGAATTACAATAACGGCAAATAGCTATTTATTATTATTTATTCGATTTGATTAAACTATACCTTACCACCGAATGTATACATTAAAAACCTACAGTGCAGACTCAATATAGCCCGAGTCAGGGACAGAGTCCCTGACTCCGTGAGTCCTAGCTGTTTCTAAATTTTTCTAAGAATTGACCGACATAATATTACCATTTTTAACTTCCAAAACTATATTTGCTATCAAGAAGTGGCAGCCTTCGTACCAAATTTCAGATGGAAAAAATTAAAATTAAAAAATGGTATGGGTCATCCTCGAGGGTCACTCTGGTTAAAATTTGCTCACTTTTAGCTTCATATCCTTTCGTGAGAAGCCATTAGGTATGACCGTGCCGGATTTAATGTTTTTTAAGTAATTTCTAAAAATCGGTATGGGTCACCCCATAGGGTCGCTCCAGATAAGAATTTTACCAATTTCATGTCATATTCTTCTATTAAGACCCATTAGCAACCTCTCTACCAAATTTCAGCTTGTTATGACGATTTTGAAAAATCAGTGTGGGTCACCCCATAGGGTCCCTTAAGATGAAAATTTTTCCAACTTGGAGTCATTTTTATCTATTAGGAGCCATTAGCAACCACTGTACCCAATTTTAGCCTTCTACGACAATTTTGAAATTTTGGTGCACAAGACCCCACCCACTCCGATGACCCCCACCGGTCAACCACTGGACCGATTTCGCCCATCTTCGAACTCGTTTCCTAACTTTGTCCAATATGCATATGGTAAAAATTTCAAGTCAATCGGTTCAGCCGTTTTGGCTCTATCGTGCCGGACAGACGGACGGACGGACGGACATGACGGTTCCATAAGCCCTGACTCGGGCTAAAAAACATTACCCCAAATTACAGTAAGTGTATCTTAATAATGAGTTGAGCCGAATAAAAATAATAAATAGAGCAGAAGACACAGCGGCTGAGTGCATTTGGTTTGTTTTGGCTTTTTGTGTGAGATCAAGCGGGTCCGGGTTTTCGGATGGTTCAAAAAAATCGGTCCGGTTTGGAGTGTGTGTGCAGCTGGGAGGCCGGAGGAGTTAGTTGAGTGCCAACTGCCAGACAGAGATGCATTTGAGCGTTGTGTTGTTCTCTTTCTCGCCTTGCTTCATCATTTCATCGCATTGGTGACAGTTCCACTGGCTGGACGAGAAATAATTTCGTGTGAACTTGAACTGTAGAAAATTTCGAATGTTTTTTATCGGTGGCAAAATTTAAAGTTTTTAAACTCGATATAATCCAAGCCGTCCAGTCACCCACCAGCATAATTGTTCCATCGGAGAAGAGGACGGTGTCGGTATACATACTCAATTAAATATGGGAATTTAATCCATTCGACATCATACGCGCAAATCAAAGGTAAGGTCATTTGCACTTTTTCCCGTCTTTGCTGAACGAAAATTCACGTTTCAATAATTATCCCAAATAATACTTCATTAAATTATAGGGTTCAATTTCAAACATGAAAGCTTATTTTTCACAATTTTGGGAAGATAACCCTGAGAATCTATTTAATCTATGCAGGATTAAGGGTTTAGTCTTAAATGTAACAGTATAAACTGATTTAAACAAACAAAAATGAAGTACTAGACACCGGCAATCAGAGATCAGTGGTGCATTAGTTACGACAGCTAACAAGGCATGCAAGATATTCGAGCTCTTACAATTAGCTTTGTTTATGTTAAGCATTTTATCGCTTTAACTGGAATGAAATTTGAGTATATACAAATCACTATATACTAATCAGTTGGAATTACAAAATACATTCTGTGGTTCGTTCTACTTAATTATAATAGTCATGATTTGTGATTTGCTATATTTGAATTAAACTAATCCTAAGTTAAGGGCCTAGTTATTTGCCTGGTACATACATACATAATATGAACCAATGCATTCCTATTCCATTGGTATATTATTGCAACCACACACACCATTGCCATAAATTACACAGCGTAACATGTTTTCAGAACATTTATCACACATCAAATTTATTTTACTGGAAATGATGACAGAAACGAAGGAGGCAGCTTATTTTATGACCAATGCAGCACAGCACAAACGCCTCGTATCATAATTCTACTTTCACTTTCCCCAACCAACCGATTCTTCTGGTCTGCCCATCTATCTGCACCAAATTACTTTCAATCTGTTTGAACGAGGGTAAATGTAATGAGATTTTTGTTTTATTACATAATGTGGACTGCATACTGCATTTTAGCTTTACCTCAACGTGTGGGGTCGGTTGTCATGTTATGCGAAATGGGGAGAGGGAAGAATAGGTGTGGTTAGTTACAATTTATTATTACTTTATTACTGCAGGTGCTTATAAACGGCAGTAAAAGCAATAAGTGGCTTCTCGGATGCTTAAGGGCTACGCACGTTACGTTAGATGCTAATGTCATGTCTAACCCAACGTGGTTGTATGGTTCTTGGGTCTTTATTAAATCAAATTATTTTGTAATTGGACCAATCACACATTACATTCTGTGGAGGTATGAATGAGGGTTGATAACCGTTTAAGATCATCAAATCAATTAAGTCCGAGTCAACAGTGATGATCAGAATAATCATTCATAATCTGATAATCACATTCTACTAAATTGGATTTAGACCTTGACATGAATCGAGGGTGTTAACTCTTGACCCTCTCAATTACTTAGTAGCGTATTTTTTTAAATTTATTTTCACACACTGGTCGATTGAATTCTTTAGTTAATTTGAGCATTTAACTTATTTCGAACATTTTGTTAGAGCTACCAATCTCGAATTAATGTAATTGCAGATAGAGTGAATTTCGTTCTCAGTTGTCAGGAAATCGTAGTAGACTTGTTTATTCACTACTATTTATCAAAGTGGGCTTAGATAAGGACAGATTTTATTCTCTCTTCCGGTTCTACTTGTAAATTCTTTAATGGATTGGTGGAAGATGAGGTTAGTGAAGAGAGATAGTTATCTCCTGTCCTCTTGGTTCTGTTCAGTACTCAAGGTTATTTAGATCCATCCAGATTCTAGAGATCCAGGAGGAGCAAGTAACACGAAGTAAGTGCGCTGAGGGAGAAAGAGAATTACTCCAAAGCCATTAACTTCCTGTAGTATGTATTTTTAAAATGAGGGTGTAATGGATCCAAATTTTTCGGTACTCAAAATTAGCTTACACTGTTTAAACTCTTGGGGTGGCAAAGAAAACCAACAACTGAATAGCTTTGTAAGTGTGGGTTTAACAAAATAAAGCAAATTAAACTCTCACTCGGAGGAGAGAGACAAGATCTTGGTGAAAGAAAAAGAAACAAAACCTAGTTTTTTGGGGATCTGCTGGAAAAGATTTGATAGTATGAGATGGGAAAACCATTTCGTCGTGCCAAGTCCTAAGTCAAAGTCATGAATGGATTCCATTGTAGCCACTAAAGCCCGACGCGTAAATGTTTTTATTTCTTTGGAGATCTGATAAGTGCTCTGAGAATGGAGTTTATATAAAATGCGTCTCGTGGTGCAGACAACTTACTAACACATTTGACATGCATTTATAAACGGGATTATTGCATTTTCGAAAAATGCAGTTTACATGCATCGCATATTCGCGTGGAAATGCTTTCCCGAATTCAGATTACGATTTGGTACGTTTATGCTTCTATCTTTAGTCTGTCTGGTTTTAATCATTCCTTAACCACGTACTTGGTTGTATCTGATTTTCATTCACTTTTTAAGACAATAAACAAGATATATTTCAAACGGGCTTGACAAAAGTTTGCCGATTTCATAAAAAGTAAACTGATTGAAGTTTGAGAGAGAACAGAGTAGGCACATTCTCTTAAAAAATTAATTCTACACTTTTTATGATAAAAAAACGAGAAGGAAGGAACATGAGAGTCTTCGATTCGATTTCGTCTGTACGTATACCCTAATATACAGTTTTCAAATTTTGCTGTGTCGGAGGAGGATAAACATTAATGTGCGTGCCACAGATCATCTTTCCCAAACTCGCTCGTATCCTTGTTTTCAGAAGTAGAGGATGGATCTGATTGCAGAATTGCGTAAGAACAAGGCTTTGTTCGTCTGAAAAGTTTAGGGTTTTGATGATCCGGTGGGAGGAATGTAATCCAAGTTTTCTACAGTTAGCTCTTTCTTGGTGCATTTCATTCATTCTTGGTGGTACTCCTGGGTAGACTTGGTCTGAAGATGAGTAGAGTGCGTGTTGCATCGGCAGATCGATCAACGCGTTTCCGGTTGCAAGGACGACAAAGATCTTATATTTCTCTCCCATATCCAGCTATAACTTCTTCTGCTTGGGTGGGTGGATCCTTGGCAGCCTTGGCTACATTTTCCTTTGCTCTCCTTGAGATGAAAATGCAAACAGAATTGAATTGAATAACAATGCCGGTCTGGTCTGGTGGTAGCGGAACGTTACGTTACGCATTTGCACAATATTTCCTGAAACGTCAATGTTCAGGAGGATATTCTTTTGTCTTGCCTTGAAGGAGCTAGGAAAAGAAAGTTGATAAAATAAAGTCTGCTATTTCATCCACCCCAACACACTGCTTCCTCTTTCCTTTTATTTCATGTGCGTAGAATCGCTGGAATAGGGTGGGTGGACTAATGCTCAAAGAATGCCAGAAACTTGGCTCCCTGTCTTTCTAAATGAAAATTTATTTCTACCCGGATGCAGCATTATTAGTATTGTCTCAAAGTCTAAAGTCAAAAGGCAAGGAAGAGTGAAAATTAGCTGAAAATTTTGAACTCATTAAGTGAAGGCATACTATGAAAATGTAATGATTATAGTGACAGCATTGTGGAAAAGGAGAATCCTCATTTGCACATGTCTCCAACAGTCTCAATATATATATTTACATTTGCTTGTAACTTACTGATAACTGTGAGAAAACTGCACGATAAAAGTGGAAAGAAACCGCTTGTGAATTTAACAAATCCATTCCTTCTCTCCTGTAAAGATAATGTTCCTTCAGATTTATATGGCCATTAAGAAGGTTATTATATAGATCTGCCTAAGGTTGGGTTGGGTTTGGTTAGTGGGGGCCGTAAGATCTGCTCAACACTCACTTTGCGAGGGGCTTCGGTAAGCTTCAATTGTAATGTTATGATAGTTCCGGTTTCACTCTTAAAATCTGGAGGGGACGTAATGCATAGTTTTTAAGGAAATCCCGTGTCGGTCCCTTTTGCAATCATTTTTCTGTTCGGAATGGAATAATGAAATAAATGAAATTGCGGTAGGATCATTATGGAATGTCTGCTTTGTAGTATTTAAAGTTTTGACATGTGTAAAGTAGAATTTTTGCATCTCGGTATTTACTAAAAAATATTATCTACAAATGTAATGTTGCGTACTCGTATTATTTGGCTTCCTCAACAACTTTTATTCAAAGTTCTGTTTCATAACTAAATATGATGTATAAATGTTTAAAAATAGTTTTCCTCGTTTTTCTGGACAGAATTTCATAAGTGTGATTGACTGCATATTAGTCAGACTGCAAATGAAACGCAAAGTCTGTCACTGTCATTCTACGCTCTTTCCTAATTTTGTCAGTGTCATTCTCTGCACGCATAATATGTTCATCGTCCTGTAGTAATAGTTTCTTCCATATAATTAAGATTCCGATCCTGCATGGAAACGTGTGTTGTATGGAAATATTGCTACAGCAAAATTCGAATCCATCTGTGACAGTTGTACACGAGAATCATATTAAAACAGTGAGATTAGTGCTGTTCGGCTGCCAGAGCCAGCCAGGTTCGATATCTTTGCCCCCTCCGTACTCTCATCCGCATGGTTATGTTTTCGGGTCCATAAGAGGCAGATGCAAAGCAAGTGAGATTGTAGTAGCATTCATACAGCTTATCCCAGTTCTTCTGTATGAAGATGGGTTCTCTCTTCACCAACCCAAATAGATTTTGAACAGAAATAATACTCGGAAATGTAGAACAACTTGTATGAACTTATGAACAAGTACAACCCTTTACCTTTTGCAACATTGTAAACACACTTTATTGCTTCAGATAGGGAGGAAGGGTGGAATTTTAGGCAGGCGAATGTGATCCTCAGTCAGATGCATAAATAAATACACTAATACCGAAGGAATATAAAAAGAGTAACTTTTTTTCTCCTGCAGCTAAAGTATGAAAAACGTGTTTTTTTATGAAATTTGTTGGCATGATCGGCAGAGTACGTTCAACACTCATATTCCATAAATAGTGTATGATTGACGATGGATAAGCGATGTTTTTGTGAAACGAGCTTATTTATTTTACAAGACTTTAAGTTAGCTGAATATGCCCTAATATGTAAGCCTAATTTTCAGGTACTTTATGAGAAACACTCTTGTCATTCATTCTTGGTGGTACTCCTGGGTAGACTTGGTCTGAAGATGAGTAGAGTGCGTGTTGCATCGGCAGATCGATTTATTGCTACAGCAAAATTCGAATCCATCTGTGACAGTTGTACACGAGAATCATATTAAAACAGTGAGATTAGTGCTGTTCGGCTGCCAGAGCCAGCCAGGTTCGATATCTTTGCCCCCTCCGTACTCTCATCCGCATGGTTATGTTTTCGGGTCCATAAGAGGCAGATGCAAAGCAAGTGAGATTGTAGTAGCATTCATACAGCTTATCCCAGTTCTTCTGTATGAAGATGGGTTCTCTCTTCACCAACCCAAATAGATTTTGAACAGAAATAATACTCGGAAATGTAGAACAACTTGTATGAACTTATGAACAAGTACAACCCTTTACCTTTTGCAACATTGTAAACACACTTTATTGCTTCAGATAGGGAGGAAGGGTGGAATTTTAGGCAGGCGAATGTGATCCTCAGTCAGATGCATAAATAAATACACTAATACCGAAGGAATATAAAAAGAGTAACTTTTTTTCTCCTGCAGCTAAAGTATGAAAAACGTGTTTTTTTATGAAATTTGTTGGCATGATCGGCAGAGTACGTTCAACACTCATATTCCATAAATAGTGTATGATTGACGATGGATAAGCGATGTTTTTGTGAAACGAGCTTATTTATTTTACAAGACTTTAAGTTAGCTGAATATGCCCTAATATGTAAGCCTAATTTTCAGGTACTTTATGAGAAACACTCTTGTTATCCCTGGCTGATTAATTACATGTACATATGCATATGCAATAAAGTAATTACAACTGGTTCTTCTGATTTTAGTTGCTTGCAAATGCCTCCAGAGAGGCTCCAAAAATTCGAGATGCATTCGAAGTCGTCATACATCTTCATCATCTTATTATCCATGTGCTATGCTCAATCCACGTCAACTTCAGCACCTGTCGTTTCGGAACAACCCAATAAGGAACCAATTCCAAACGTCTTTTTACCAGCATCAAATATTAACCCAGCCGTTCAACCAGCCGTGTTGGGCGAAAATGAATCGGTGATTCCAACACCTCAAGCCCAAACGCAATTTCGAGATCGGCCACCCTTCTCTAATACAAACTCCTTGGAAGATGATAGAATTCGAGAACGAGAGAGAGAAAGGGAACGTGAGAGGGAAAGGGAGCGAGAACGAGACCGGAATCTGGAAAGGGACAGAAACCGAGAGCGGAATCAGAATCAGTTTCCCTTCGGATCCAATCAAAATTCAAACACTGGTCAAGATTCAGGACTACCCTTTGGCCGACCTACTCTACCAAGACCCCAAGATCCCAGAGATCCTTTTTCTGGTCCCACTACAACAAATAGAAATGGGGACCGTCAACGATTTCCAGATACTCCGCAACGGTTTCCTGACACTTCTCAACGGTTTCCAGATACTTCTCAGCGGTTTCCAGATACGTCCCAGCGGTTTCCTGATACTTCTCAACGGTTTCCTGATAACTCCGTCTTCAATCAAAGACCATCAACATCTCTAAACCCTGCATTTAACAGTCCTTTCGGTTTTAATTCAGGATTTAGAGGAACCGTTATTCGAGAACCGTAAGCATCCTAAACTTCTTTTGTGTTCTACACCTTGTTCTATCTTATACAGAGATGTTGATACACAACTAAATGTATTTTTTTGTTCTTAACTCCTCAGGCGGTATTTCGTAGTCGCCAGCAAAATGGTTCGACCCGGTCAAATTTATAGAGTTTCGGTGACCGTTTTCCAAACCCAAACTCAGACCCAAGAAATTGAAGGTGATCCAAAACAAATAATGTAACATGTATTTGAAAAAAAATATATCAAATAATATTAAGATTGAGAAGAAAACAATTGAGGGATATTGAGGTATTCACGGTTCGATTTTCTATTTGATTTTTTCCAGTTCGTGCTTCGCTCCTCCGAGATGGAGTAGATCTTGGTTCCGATACTAAAGTCTGTCAACCAAACATCCCCGAAACACTCATGATAAGAGTTAGTCTGATGAATATTGTCATTTAATCATTTATTTGCTTGCTAAAGAAATACTGCGTAAATGCATAGGTACCAAGAACAAGTATTTCCGGGGATTACAGACTCCGAGGTAAGTTGTGTGTCAAATTTCTTCTCCAGGTTCAAAATAAATCTAAATGTTTTTTTTTTGTTACAGTGGAAGGAAATGATAACGGATTGGTATGTTCAAGTATAATAACCTAACCAGTAAACGTTGCATCTTTGTGTCATGTATTCTACATTCTCTTGATGGAATATTGTTTTCATAAATAAGGCTGTTGGCATAAGAAAACTCTGGAGCAACAAATATTTATATATAAAAAAAGTAATATTATAATTCAATCCAGGTTGGCGGAACTGCTTTCGTAAATGAAACAGAACTACGATTTTCAGGTAACCCATCAGTGACAATAGTTATTCTTAATACTTATTAATACTAACTACGGTTTTCAGAGAGGTCGATGACAATCTTTATCCAAACTGACAAACCCGTGTATATGCAAGGACAGACAGGTGTGTTACATTTCCCGAGACTAAATGAGATTTTATTTTTGATGCCGTCTAATTTTCTAACCCTCTTGACATGTGACATGTTACAGTGAGATTTCGTGTGGTGCCGATCAATACTGCTCTGAGGCCGTTTGACGATGCTGTGGACGTTTACATGATAGACCCAAGAGGAAATATTGTGAGAAGGTGGTTATCACGTCAGGTAATCAAATTGGGTGAACTAATTTATTTACTAATCCTAATTGTAATTATATATACGCTTTCTCTGTTACAACAGTCCAACTTTGGTGCAGTTAGTTTAAATTACACAATGTCGGATCAGCCAATGTATGGAAATTATAGCATTCGAGTGCATGCGTTGCAACAAGTGGAAGAAAAACAATTTTTCGTTGAAGAATATTACCAACCAAGATTTGAGGTCAATGTGACTATGCCAGCATTTTTATTCGTCAGGTGAGTACACCTATATGACTATGATAAAACTCTTCATAAAATCTATGGTCATCTCTTTATCATACCATGTCTAAAATATACAACTTTTCTAACTCCCCAGCGATAACTACGTGGGTGGCATTATTGTGGCCAATTTCACGGTAAGTTTTATTTACATTGGTTTGAATGGATTGTTCAAAATATGTTTATTTCCTATTAGAGTGGAGCTCCTGTTCGTGGGAATTTGACAATTAAAGCAACGATGCGTCCAATTGGTATGTTAAAATTATTCGAAATATACATTTCATTAAATATGATGTGTACATATAAATATCTGCATAGTTCTCTAACCTCATTTACTGTAATCTATATACATAATAAATAATTTGCATAGAATCCTAAAGTTTTAGCCAATGGAATTTTCTTCTCTGATTTAATAGATGAAAGACTTGCTCCGACGTTTAGAACCTCTTTGTATGATCCAATACTGCATCAATATATTCCCAATGTAACATAAATATATGTATTTATTCAGTGTATTTTATCATTACTAAATGGAATGTTTTAATGACGATTTTAATGAAAATTAGTTTGAAGGCTATTATGAGTTCCGCTTCGGTATGTGGGAAATCGAACGAAGTGTCCCTCAACTTGATAATATTGAAGTCACTATCACTGCCCAAGTTGGAGATTACTATTGGAACGAAATAATTGAGGGTTACTCAAAAGCTAGAATTTACAATTCAAGTTTGAAACTACAATTTCTCGGTGGTAGCCCTCAAGTCTTCAAACCAGCGATGCCCTACACTTGCTATGTATACAATTTTAAATCATAATTTCACAGCAATTTACTGATTTGAGTAATACACATTAATTTATTTGAATTTGTAGATTACAGTCTCGTATCACGATGGCTCACCTTTAACACTCTCTCGATTGCTTTCCAGTAATTTGGAAGTACAGCCTGAAGCAATGACAAGAGGGGGTGGGCGAAGACGTTTAGAACCACGGAGTGTCGGTAAGTATGCATTTCATATTTGCCTACTTAATTTAATTTGGAACCCTAGATAAAGTGTACATATATATATTAAAAAGGATAATTAGTAAAGCTGTGTAATATTGTGTTTCTAGTAATGGTTCCTGAGCATCCAGGTAAGTTCATTTGACATATTTTAATATGCATATTCTTCTTTGACTTGTACTCCTTAAAATCAGGGTATTGATCCGGGAAATGAGTTTATACTGTACTTACTGTGTTTTTGATATAATGTGAACTATTGTCCTTCATGTTTTTCTGGACTGGTAGAATGTTCCATTTTTTACAAATTCTATTTCTTCTCGCACACAAATTTCTCTTGACTTATGTCGAACGAATACTAAAAGTATTGTATGGAAATGTGAGCCTCTGAATATGTATACATATTTATATGTTTTTTTTTTAAATTTCAGGCATTTGGAAGGTTACTTTTGATTTGAAAAAGGAGCTTGGTGGTACGTAGTTCGTCTCCATTAATTTTGTGATTAACTCAGAGTTATTTTAACATTAACTTATGCAATAAATTCAAACGCAACTTAATGTTTGAACTTCAGGTACAATTAAAACGCGTCAATCCACACAATTGATTAATGATGTTCAATCAATAAGAGTCGTCGCCGTCTTCACTAACCAGCTACAAGAGACTGCTACAGCAGAAGTACTTGCCGTTGCTCACCATTCTCCTAGAAATCGGCATATTAGTGTTACTTCGTCAACCAGTTCCCCCAAGGTAACAAGTTCACTTCTTTGTATGTATTCATGCTCATGTATAAGGTAACGGTTTTCCGATTGGATTTATTTATGGATGATCAAATGGACTGTAATTCATATGCAGTAGTATACTAAATTGCACATATTACTATTTGCAGGTTGGAGAATACATTGTGTTTCATGTCCGTGGGAATTTTTACATGGATCGATTTACATTTCTCATCATGTCCAAAGGGGTTATTCTTCTTAGCGGTAGTGAAGTCATGGATGCATCTTTGAGGACCTTTGCAATTTCTGTTAGTTTCGATTCTATTTTGTTACTTTTAATAGGTTTTGAAACAACAGTCTTAAATATATTACTTCAACAGGTGTCTCCAGAAATGGCTCCAGCTGCTACAATAATGGTTTATCATGTTTCAAAATATATGGAAGTCGTTGCTGACTCTCTAACTTTCCCTGTGAACGGAATTTCCAGAAATAATGTAAGATGAATATTATAACACTCGAACTACACAAGTTAATTATAATAATCTTCATATTTTGTATCTAGTTTACCGTCAAAATAAACAATAAAAAAGAGAAAACCAACAACCTCGTAGAGATAATTATTCGGGGTCAACCTGGCGCTTTTGTTGGTTTGTCCGGAATTGATTCTGCGTTTTATACTATGCAAGCAGGAAATGAAATCTCTTACAGCGAAATTTTGGAAAAAATGATAAAATTTGATGAAGAGTAATACACTAATGTTATAATAATACTATAATATATTAATGTTATATTAATTATGAATAATTATTATAACGTAGTTCGAATGGAACTTTAACTCACAAATGGATTTCAAGAGATGGATTCCCGGATGAGATTGCCTACTTCCCCTCTCATTCATTTGGAATAGACGTCAATAGAACCTTTGAGTAAGCTTGATTTAAATAACCAAAATGCTTAACTTAGGATTAGAAAAGTCGATAGTATGTATTATATACTCACGCTAAAATTTGGATATTTTTTTAGGTATTCCGGTTTAGTTGTTTTTAGCGACATTGTACTTCCGCGACGTCTGGAATTTTGTAATGAGACCGCTGGGCAATATGCATGTCTAACCGGAAATCAGTGTTATCATATAGAACGGAAGTGCGATGGGCTACGGTGAGAAAATTCTACATTCTTTTAGAATCTTATTTTTATTTCACTCTATTATATATGTACGAGATATCGGGCAATTATTATGAAAAAGTAATTTATAACTCAAGTATGAAATTTGTATTACAGGGATTGTGTCGATGGAACTGATGAAAGCAACTGTGAGAATTTTATAAAGTTCAAAATATGAATTATACTCTAAGCTTAAATGATCCATTATTTTCCATATTTTTAGGTGCATGGTTCAACGCAACTGATTTGGTTCACTTTAAGCTTCATCGGTTTAACCGGCTTCAGAGATTGTATGACAATACTTGGCTGTGGAAAGACATAAACATTGGACCACACGGTCATTTCATTGTTACCGTTCCTGTTCCCGAGTATGTCGACTTTGAGTTATTTACATGCATTGCACCAAAGCTTACGATCTGTGTACAATAAAACTTTAATAGACGAATGTTTTAAAAATATATATATATGCATTTTACAGACGACCAGCCTTGTGGATGGTTTCTTCGTTTGGTGTTAGCACTAAATCAGGCTTTGGACTCTTAAGAACCCCAATAATTGTAAGACACTCTTGTTGAATGATAAAATGTGAGCTTTACATTCAATTAAAAACTGTTACTGACTTCATAAAAATTTTAGTATTCTGGAGTCCGTCCACTTTTCATGAATGTGGAGATGCCACACACCTGCAGACAAGGTTTGTGTCCACAATTTTTTTTATGTGGAGAATATTTTTGATTGTTTTACTCTTTGCTCAATTCCTCCTTAATTTTTTCAACAGGAGAGCAGATTGGAATACGCATAACTGTGTTCAATTACATGCACAGGTTTGACCCTACACGGGCGTAATTTAGAGTTACTGTTGCAATCGTTAAATAACTTTAATTAATTCCAGGGATATTGAAGTAATGGTGGTGCTGGCCAATTCTCCATACTACAAGTTCATTCATGTTGAAGCTTATGGCAGGTTCGTCAATATTAGCATGGTTGATGATTTTTTGCATTATCCAACTCTTTAGCATTATGATTATGCAATAATCTATTATTTATAGTGTTCAGTCGTACAACCCTCGAACATCTACTGGAGAACACCAACATTTAGTGTGGATTAGAGCTCAAGACGCAGTTCAAGTGCACATGCCAATTGTGCCAACCATTTTGGGGGACGTGAGCGTTTCCATTCGTGTCGTCGCCCAAATTGCCCAAGACCAAATTACAAAGATTATTCGAGTTGAACCTGATGGGGTGCCACAATACAGACATACCTCAGTGCTACTTGATCTCAGTAGTCGTGCCTTGTAAAGAAATTTGTCATAAAAACCTTATTTATTATTGTAGTATGCGTTGTTTATTAGTATGTCATTGTATTTTATTCCAACAGTGTTTTGCAGTACATGCACATCAATGTAACAGAGTCCCCAATTATTCCGTACGACTTTGACCGATACTATGTATACAGCTCTAATTTAGCCGAGATTACTGTGGTTGGAGATGTTGTTGGTCCTGCTTATCCCACTATGCCTGTCAATACCTCCACGTTATTGACCAAACCAATGGTATTAAATTAGATTACATACGATGGTTTTTATAAATAATTTATTAATTACCATTTTTAATGCTAATTCTATTTGTAATTCATTGTAGGAATCCGCCGAGGTATGCATTTTGCATAATGATAAGGTTTTAATGGTGTTTTAATGCGAGTTTGTTTTGTTCTTTTCAGCAAAACATGTTTAGCTTCGCTGCTAATCTATACACATTGATGTATTTGAGATTGACAAATCAACGGAACAAAACGGTTTATCGTGAAGCATTCCACAATTTAAATGTTGGTTATCAGAGACAACTAAGCTTTCAAAACGAAGATGGGTCCTTCGGGATGTGGAGACAAGACACACAGCCTCCATCGCGGAGGTGAGTCGTAAGCCGTGAGTAGGCGACTAGGAGTGTGGGACTCGAATGTTGAAGCCTGCACGCAAACCAACAACGAAACGTTTTTTATTTACTTCTGCTCGCCCGCTCACTCAGACCCAATTTATTCATTTCTCGCGTATACAATAGAATAATAGTCAATTCGCGTAATTTTCTAATAAGTCTTATTTTACTTAAATCACTCCAAATTCTTTATCTATTTCTCGCATACTTTAAGTCTAACTTTCTACCTTTCTAAATTAATTCAATGGATTTCGATCTCAGTGATAAGGACATTGGCCTTAGAGCACGATCTCGCCGGACGTCCAGAATAGTCAATTCAACGGAAGGTCCAGTTTTGCGGCCTCGCATTTTCAAACCCATACTTAGTTCTACTTCTAGTAATAGTGATGAGGATGAGATACCTCTTCCAAAACGAACAAAATCTGCGGATTGTGATCAAAAAGTGACGACTTTTGTAGCGGATGGGAAACAAGGATTAAAATCATCTGTGTATAAGTCGGCAGTTGTCAAAACCTGTGATGCAGACAAACCAATACGTCAAACTGGAAGAAACTATAACTTATGTATATTTATTAGTTACAATAACATTACACCACCAATATATCATCTGTCAACCAAGTCCGGTAGTTCAGCAAGTCTGGTATGTGAAACATATGAAAGAACAGATCAGCCTGGAATTTACAAATATCGAAACTTCAACGGTATCTCGGAAGCAACTAAGCAAACACGTCTCATTCTCATCGCAAAACGTTCGTTTACGACTTCAAGTGCAAAATATCCAATGCTTGCGCTTCAAGCTGCTGGTGCAGACTACTACCGGATGTCTCGGTTTATCCAATCACATTTCGAAGCAGACCCAACTAAATACATTGGCATAAATACTGAATCTGCTATGTATAAGGATGGGAATTTTGTAAACATGTGGGATGATGAAGACATACGCAAAACTTTAGAAGATGACATCGGGACACAGCTGCTTGACCTGTCAATGACGTCATGTCCTTCAATTAAAAAAAAACCGGTCATCTGATTGTTGATAATTGTAGAAAAGTCGAGAATTTCGATTGGACAAGGAAAGGAGTTTTGAATTTCTTGTCTAACCCAGATAGACAAATGATAAAAAAATCTAGAAACACTAATAATCTAGGACGTTTTGTTTGTGACAACTGTGGACGTCGATTTACAGAAAAAGCCAATCTACAGAGGCATCAAGTTATCCATACGCCACCAAAGCATCAATGCAAATATGACGACTGTCAGTTCAAGCACCACAACAAAAATACTGTATCCCTTCATGAATCATCTCATGAAACCACTTCTCTTTACTGTACAGTGTGCTATTCTCGGTTTGGTGAACAGAAAAACCTAAATAAACATATAAAAGAACAACACTCACCCCCAGCCTTTGCTTGCTCTATATGTCAAATGTTGTTCAAGTCGAAAGGGAATTTACAAAGTCATAACAATACTTATCATCAATAAACAGCCTTAGTTTTTAAGCCTCTCTTTTAGTTATTTTAGAAGTGATTGGTATTGATTTAAATTTAAAATTCCTTAGAAAAACTTTATTATGCATTCCATACAATTTGTTCATGTTTGACCAAAGGAACAACTCAAGTCCAAGCGTCTGGGTCACCGCATACTGCTGTCGAGTATTTTCAGAAGCCAGTTTTAATGAGTGGGAGAACTTTTTATTTATAGACCCGAATGTACGTAAGATCAGTGTGCTATATTTTTGTTAGCATTTTCAATTTATTTTTTGTTCGTTAATCCTATTATTCTCCTAATTTGTAGGTCATCGCAAAAGGAATTTCCTGGCTTTTACAATATCAAACTGAAGAGGGATCATTTTATGAAGTTTCTCCGTATGCTAATCGAAAGCTCAATGATACCATAATATCGAATGGATATGCATACTCCCCAAACATAACACTTACGGCACACGTTTTGATTGCATTACACAATGTCAAAGATTTGCCAGGGGTATGTTGAAGCGGTTGATTAGTATTTTCATTTGGGTAAAGTGTATACAATTGTTACATAAAATTAATTTATAATCTGTAGGTGATTGGCCCCCGGTTAGCTGTAGCGCGACAAAAAGCAGTGAATTATCTCGAAATAAAAATTGATTCTATGCGGTATGGCTCCCGTCCATATGAAATTGCTGTGGTCACTTATGCCTTGATGTTAAATAAAAGGTTAAATGGACAGTTATTTCTATCTATAAACATCGCAATATGTATTACAACAATAAAGTTTATTCAATTTTTTATAGTCCAAAGGCAGATTCTGCTTTCATAATACTTTCTGAACACGCACAATTTGAAGGTAAGTTCGATTTGGAACGGATGTGAATGCACATTGTGTAGATCAGCTAAATTATAATGATTGGCTTAAAATTATGTTAATTAAACGCTTAACAGGTGGGCTGGCTTATTGGGGACGGGAGAAAGTTCCAGTTCCTGACTTCAAATTAGAAAATAATAAACCATTTCTGTTACCCCGACTTCCCCACAAATATGGTATGATTTCAGTTATCATTTTGCATAACAAAAAAAGTGTAACAAACTTGGCTTCTTCTAAATTACTAGATTCGGAGAATATTGAGGCCACAGCCTACGCATTGCTTGTCTACGTGGCAAGACAAGAACTAGTTTTTGTGGAACCAATTGTTAAATGGCTCAACACTCAAAGATTGTACGATGGGGGGTGGGCTTCGACTCAGGTAAATTATATAGTATTTGCATTGTATGTATAAGCTCTTTTGACACCATTCGTGTCTTATTATTGCTTTCATTCGATTTCTGAATATGACTATTACGTAACACTTTCTTTTAGGACACGGCAACCGCCATGCGTGCGTTAATTGACTACACAATACGGTCAAACATAAGGAATGTCACCGATTTAAGTGTAACAATCGAAGGTAAGTATACGACATAGCTCATATTGTTATAATTCTTGTCATAATAAAATATTCACAATGTGTCTCTCTAATTTATTTACACATGTATTTATTGTTTGAATTGTAGCCGTTTCAGTACCTGACAGAGTTACAACTTTTAGAATCAATTCTGATCATTTGGCAACACCTCAGAAGCTCCATGTAAGTTATATGCCTTCCATGTGTAGTATCATTTAAACAAATGTTGATAAAAGATTCGAAACATAGCAGAGTTTTTCCAGAGTTTGTACTATCATGCTGTTATCATTTTAGATCAATCCAGCATACGGTACGGTGAAAGTTCAAGCGAAAGGTGCTGGATATGCAATTCTGCAAATGCAAGTTCAATATGGGGTTGACAGGTAAATTTCAACCGTTTGACAAAAACAAAGACTGTACTGATGTTACAAAAAATGTCAAAAATGAACACGAACTTATTATTCCTTAATTTCCTTATTTGAAAATTGAAATGTATTTTTACCCACAGGGCGCGATTTGTAACTGACCCACCAGTCAAAGCTTTCAGCTTGCAAACTTATGGCAAGTTCCACGGAAGAAACGCTTCATACATTGAATATACATCTTGTCAGAGGTAATATTTTCTTGAATTTGTGTATGATATTTTAATAATGGTGAAACGAATTTAAGACATGTGTATTTTATTATTATAGCTGGACGTATCTAGAAGAATCTGAAAGGTTGGTATTTATTTCAAAAGTAACATCTACAGAATTAATTATAATGAATGCTTCTTTTTTTCTTTTCGTGCTCTCGCGTTTCAATGTATCGCAACATATCAAGATCTGGAATGGCTGTTTTGGAAGTAAAAATACCCACTGGGTATTTTATACTGCAGACAAGATTGGATGAATATGTTCTCTCAGGTCTTGTTCCAACCCTTCGAAGAGCTAAATATTTTCATGACAAAGTCGTAATATATTTCGATTATGTGAGTAACCTTGTTTCGAATTTCTTATTGCATGACACATGCAATGACCAGACCAAGTGAAGGGTATCGTGTCTTATTTGCTCCAATGGTCTACTTTCACTTTCAGTTGGAGATCAACCCTACTTGCGTAAATTTTACTTTGGAGCGGTGGTTTCCTGTTGCAAATATGACGAGGTAAATTTCATTGTTATACTAAAAATTCATTATGACAGCAATCGAAAAAATAATCCTCATAATAACTGAAAGTGAGACTGCTAACTGCTAGTAGTAATTTTAATATACAATTTGAAACATTCCATATTGATGTCGTTGTCCTAGGCTTATCCGTATTGACAATAGCTGTTATTTGACTCTTTTCATCATCTTTCTTCTAGATATCTGCCAGTTCGTGTTTATGACTATTATGCACCAGAGAGGTTTAATGAAACAATATTTGAAGGTAAGCATAAGCATTCTGCAAGTGGTTTTAAAATGCATCTGACACTATGAGACTTTTACTAAACACAATATCTAGTTACCCATCATCCAAACGTTACTTCTTAATTTAATTTTTTTTCAGCCTTTGACGTATTTATTCTCGACATCTGTCAAGTATGTGGATCGTACATGGTAATAATGATATTATTATTATGTATATGATCATGCAACTGCCTTTTACAGATAATCTAATTCTGAATCAATTTTTTCTAGTGCCCATATTGTCCAATCTTTGCGTCAAGTTGTATCTTCAATCCTTCTATATCTGTGATTTTAACATCTACAACGTTCATCTACTTATTCTCATGTTTCTTATTCTCACCAAATTAGCGAATGATCAATGTGTTGGAATCAACAATGATCTTATAACGTAACTGAATCTTTCTACATGTTTTGCAAGGCTGAATAATTAAACATGTCCTACATAAATACTTGAAGACTTGAAAGACTATCACGATTATTGTTAAGGAGCGTGTACGCCACAAAATTATATTTAAACATACATACATATGCAAAAAATTAATCAATAAATACACCACCTATTTAGTATTAATAATGTTTTTTACGTTGCACTAGCGTAACAAATGACTATACAGTATTTCTGATACTTTTTTATATTGTATGTAAAAGCTATGCTACTATGATTGTTATGTAGATTTTAACAGAGAAAGTGACCTGACAAATGAATTTTTCATCACGGTGTATATGACTTTAAACGTTGGTTGTTTTTAAATTATTTTCGTCCATAGTTTGAGCTTTATTAGATAATTTATTTGACAATTAGATTTTGGGCGGTAGTACTTATAAATACGTGGAGCTGACAAAAATTATGTATGACGATGGTGCCATACCATAATATTTCTATCTTAATTTTAATATCACTTAATGGGTTGTGTTTTGTTATTTAAGCCTTAAACTTATTGTAGTCCTTTATAAGCTCTTTGGTACTTTAATGTCATTTCAGTCAACAACACCCGATGATAAAAATACGATTTCTGTATAGTCTTAAGGTTGAATTTGAAGTGCATACATAAATATTTAGAGTATATGTTCTTCCTGATGCGAATGGGAGGAAAAAGCTTTTGTATTGATGTAAAACCGTACAAACGAAGTGTTCAGAGTTTTTGTAGATTGAAATAAACAAAGTATTCACATATAATCCATACGTTCTTATTTTTATCTGTTTGATTGACCCACATTTTCATAAACTATCGTTCGTCCTTCGCATTATAATTAATCTTTTCCTGCAGGAACATCCTTTCATTCCATGTGTAAGATTCCCAGTTTTATTTGATTGACCAAGTGGGAGTGGTGGATATGTACATGTGTAGATGTGAAAATACGTAGAATTTTCAGAGTTACCTATATAGCTAGCCAACTTTCCTCGCAGTTCCAGTACTTTCTGAGGTACAGAAAGTAAGCGTTCTTGCTGGGTGCTGCTGCTGGGAATGATCGATGCCGTATTGAAAGAAAGAAAGGAGGAGGAAATGAAGACTGGAGAGTAAATACCATTGGAACACTTGTAATGAGAATTCACCTCAGCACGGCACGATATCATTTCTAATCTCACTTTCTCAAAGGACTTTCTCACCCGTGTGCTCTTTTCTTCATTTCTACTCTCCCGACAAGAATAAATGGCTCACGGGGGGCGAAAATTAGAAAAAAGAGCATTCTTTATGAAATAGTCAATCAATCTCATTTCTCAAACCTCTCCTTTCTGGCAACAATACACATACTTTGCGATGTTACACATTAAGCGCAGCAGAATTTGCCGTCATTGTTGCTTCACTTCGCACACCCCCGAGTTTCATTCAATCTATTTGCCTTTTTAGATAGACGCGAACTATCAACGTCGTGTCCTTTCTCTCCGGACCCACCTAAGCGACCAAACTATTTTTCTCTTATTTTTCGCAAGAATAAAGCATCAATCACCCATTTTTCTCTTTCCACGAAGGTTAACTACACACTCTGACAAAGCGACTAATATAGAATCGCCGACATTGTGCTTTTGTCACCTTTGTGAGGGCAACCTTGAAAAAGGAATTATTTTTTCCAAAGTGGACAAAAGCCGATTCATTTTAATATGTATGTATATCAAAATTGCGCAGGTAATGTGGACTGCTTAAGCTCGCGAATTTCTGAGGATCTGAGTCACAAGAAAAATTGCATACATGTGAACGTCTTCACGGTTAAACATTCAGTTTCAATTTGTCGTATTCATGCTTATTCATCCTATCCGAGTGCGACTCATGTGTGAGTGCAACGAAATGTTATTCAACTGTGTTGCACATTTAATAGTTCCTGAAATTGCAATTTCTGCAAATGAGTCGCCCCTTAAAGAAGGGAAGAAAGAAGCAGAGCCATAAGTACATACATATGAACATATCCTGCGTGGGGTTACAGTTCAAAGCGTTCGTGGGATGACAAAATCGCGTGATGAGTGAGACCCAAACAACGTGAAGGTGGGTCGACGACGGTGATGCAGAGAGAATGTAGTTTCCTGAGTAGAGGTAAATTGACACAGTCGACTCGGCGTTGCGTTGTCGAAAAGTCCTTACCGTTTGTTCCTCCTGCCGTTGCTGGCAGTCTGCAATTTGTGAGATTTAATGAAATTATTTAAAATACATTAACTTTTTGCCTGTTAACTGTGAGAAAACGTTTGATAATTGTTCGTATTCAACCTGAATAAGCTGATGTCGAATAATTCGACATTAAAATGTAACTTGTACTGCTAAATCTTGAAATTATGGACATTCTTGTTGGGATTTTCTTTTTCTTTCTCCTTCACACGTCGTCCGGTAAGTGTCTTGATTGTCTTGTTTCTTGGGTATGGTGACTATTTGTGCAAAATATAAATAGTTGCTTCATCATGTAAAGTTGCAGTTTGAGTATTAAATTACAATTGTTAGTTAAGGGATGCCAGAAGTCATGCGGCATGACTAAAAGATTTTTGTGAATGGTGCATATTTAGCAAGTGCAGTGACACAGTTAATATGCACACACGTACTAAAAACGGTGGGTTAAAGTGGAAAATTCACAAAATTGGGTTATTTAATAAATATTATGCGTCGATTATAAACTGAAGTCCATTTTTGACTGTTTCTTTTCCATACGGACTTCAACATTAGAGAAATACGAAAAAAAGAAGATGAGTTAATTTAACTGACTGTATTATTTTTATTGACTACATCGCTCTTCATCGCGTTTCCCTTGAATACCATTAGCAGAAAAAACATCACACAGGAGCACTTTCACAAAGCGTAGATATATTTGTTACCTAAAATTGTCATCGCCTCGATTTGTCGAAAAATGCGTGAGGTACAACTCGTTACATAAATGTCTAGTTTTGTCATAAAACAACACTGATCAATAAGCTCGTCAATTCTCATGTCTTGACCCTAGTTGACAATTATCCATTTAGAGTAACATATAGGGTGAAGTATGGGTAGGAAACACGAACAGTGACAAAATCCAGAACCCTATACCGTGCACATGAAACAAATACATAAGCGCTATGCGTGAGGGAAAGTTTGATGGAAATGATACCAGGTTGACTCACTTATTGCTTTATTGGTGACTGCCCAAGTAACCATTTGTTTTAGGAGAAAGCACGCGATTTCTCAATCAGCACTTACCAACCATGCATTCTCCACACTGATTTAGAAAGGGTGAAATATGTATGCTACAGAAGGCTGTGTGGTGACTAAAGGCATTTGCACTTAGCAAAAGGAGAACAGTTCCATTTGCTTGAATGTAAGATTATTTCATACATAAAATTTTAAACATCTGAATGCGAGTGACATATATGTATGTACATATATGTTGCAATCTTAGGGTTCATTGTCCTGTAATAAGGGTTAACGTTGAGATTGAATCAAATTTCGAATAAATCAAAATTGCTTTCCTGTCTTGAGAATAAGGAAGTGAAATTAGTAGTATTTACTTCACATTTACATATGAAATAGTAAACACTAAAATTATATTTAGTCTTTGTGACTACTTCTAATATTACTATTTATCGCAAAAAAGAGAAAATGGGTGCAAACCTGACTTTTCACTCATGGGGTGAAAAGGCAATTCAGAGGTGATCAACCCATTTCATTAACCACCCCGACATATATATTAGAAGTCAGCAATAAATATTTAGCTGGGCAAATCAAGTACGATAATAAGAAGGATTGGCTAATGCATGCCATAACCTTTGTCTGTCTGCATGTAATTGGGCAGCAAGATTGTCCTGACTAATTTACTCCCCGTGTTTTCTGAACAGGGACTCCAGCATATAGTTACAATCCTCCCAGTTCCTCCTGCAATGACGACCAATTACGACAGTGTGCTGACAACGCAGAGCCTGTTCTCCGTGGCTCGGACTTCGTGGTGCCTGCTACCAGTCGGGCCGTGAACCAGGTTTGCAGGTAAGATAAGCATGAAGAACGAAAGGTTTCTGTTTCCTAATCTGCATTTTCGTTTTCGTTCTGTCTGTGCTAAATTACTGTGTTTAATCTCTTGCAGTGTTTGGGTAGAACTGACCAACTGCATAGGAAACTATACCAAAAGATGTAAAAATATCTCGTTGCATTCCAGGCATATAACAATGACAAATACATAAATCTACATTATGCATTTTTAGGCCTGACTCCGAATAAAAGAGTGGAATTCGAAACAGCAACAAAGGATCCAATCTCCGCAATGACGAGTTTTTGCGGAAATCCCGAACAACAGAATGGTATTCAGTTATTGTTTTATATTACAATTACAAAAATGTGTACAATTTGCACCATTATAGATTACCTCAATCATGCTCCTTGCGTCAAGAGAATTACTACACAAGACAAGTATTGTGGCAAACAATATAAATTCCTGATTGATCTTGTTGGGGACGGTACAATAAAACAAGTCTGTTGGTAAGTCGTTGGTGTATCAATATTTGCGACCCACTAGGTGTGTACTAATCATCTAATCAACTGCATACATAGGAAGCAATAACGCATGGCTGTGACACGTCATTCTGCGTACCAGCCAAAGCACTTCCTTATTTTAAGGGTGACAAGTTTGTTACCTCCAAATGTATATGTATGTAGTTGTACTTGAGTAGTAAATGAAAAAGTATCATTTCACAGCTAAAGTGAACAGGTTGTACTTTCTCCTTGTCATTCGTGTCGTCTCAAATAAATTTTGTCCATTCCTTTGAGCACTTTTATCCAATATGTGGCATATGCTGAATCCATTCATTCATGGCAACAACCTCTCAGGTTGGGAATGAATATTTGATGAAAGAACATTTGTAAAATGAAATGCAGCTCGCGAGTTGATGAGGAAGTGAAAGTTCCGTACCGTACCCGCATCGTGTTGTGGTGATGATGATTGTGACGATACAATCAACACGAAAAACACCTCACAAGTATCTCGCGTGTAAAGTGGCTAATTTTTTAATGTAAATGGACAAATAAGAACTGATTAATTGAAATACATATATTAGTTTGAACGCTGACATATGCATGGCACATAGATGTACCGTAACGTTTGTCAATTTTAATTTTAGTGCAAGAGCAAAATTCATGAACTGTCTCATGGAAAGAACGCCTGAAAGTTGCGAAAAAACGAAAAATGACTCTGCAAAGAAATCTCCAACCATGTTAGCTGTAGCTCTGCTGGACAGCTCGCTGGCTTTTATGAGTCAAAGATGCGAATCTTCTAGGTACTGAGTTATTATTAACATTTGATTAACTCGATTACTAAAATTCTGCATACTGTATTTGTTTGTTGTCAGGTTTCAAGAATCAGATTGCCCTGGAATTGATGTGCCTCGAGAGAATAGCAAAGGTCCTTTGACCAATGCTGGACAAGACACTACCCAATTCCAGTTGGATCAAGGTCACCAACAACCCCAACAGCAAGGTGGGTGGATTGAGCCGAATGGGTCAGGAAGTTCGGCAAAAAGGCCCACAACGACGACCAAGGAGATTAAAGAACGACCAGTGGCTGATCAGTTCGCAAGCACTGCTGGTAACAAGCAACGTCCCCAAGCAAACCCTGGGGGAAGAGGAGGTTCCGGTGAAATTAGAGGAAATAGTGGTCACTTAGTCATTGGATTTGTAAGCATTGCAATATTCAGAGTCTTTATGGCATAGTTATGATTAGCCAGTCGATTAGTAGGCGACTTCACAAGAGTTGAATAAAAACTTATTGATACGATTCATGCGCAACACATGTGCGTTTATTCATCATTAATAGTCAACTGATAATAATAACATAATAATAATAGATGTCACTTATTCAAATCGATTTTTGACAACGTATCGTACAACCGTACAACCATGCCTCTTGACTAACTTGCTTATTTACTCCCATTTTGGTAATTTACATATAAAGGTAAATGGTGAGAAATGGAATATGTAACAAGTCATTGCAAATGGCTGAGAACAATACATGTTTAATAGGCAATGCTTTCTTCCTCATCTCTTTAAATGGCTATACTTCATTAAGTGTAATAAGTAATTATCACCTACTTAAATTACATAAAATGAACGTAAATGTACGTAAATAAAAATCTTGAAAAAAATGAAACGCCTTTACAGAAAAAACTCAAGGTTGACTTTAGAAGTATTCTCGAAATATAATTATTGTATGGAAAATTTATAAATAACTACAAACAATATAAAGGTAACTGTTGCAAAATGGTTTTCAAATTGCAATATTTCTTGTCTATGTAGGAGCAACTTAGGTAGTCGTACTAAGCAATTTTTTGTTAATAAACATCACAACTAGCGCGTTACAAAACTTGAGCACAAATAAACCTTATACATAAGATACATGACTAACATCTTTGTCTATGGCACTGACCAAAGCTATGGTCAATTACAAATGTTAGTACATTTACTTATCGAAATATCGAAAGTGTTGTCTTTTGTACTTACATGAAGAGCGAACAATTTTGTGTTATTCATCAACTTGATATCAAATTTGGAAATTTGTAAGCCGACATTCAACAAGCGGTATACAAGGCTTGTAAGTTTAACATATTTTTATGCATTGCCTCACTATCGAACCTCTACTTTTTTGGATTCAAGATTGTTACAGTAGTATCTTGACTAATAATAATGTGTATGTACGTGTAGTAATGTGTAGTGTTGACTGATAATATCTTGGGCATATTTGTGAGCGATTGATTATACAGTGGTTCACTATAATGTTAATAAAAAGTTTAAAGTTTGTAAAACGCCCAGAGATGTGATGCGTTTGTCAAATAATCAGTCTCATAAAATATAAAACTTATTTCAGTAAACAGATTCTCCAGTAGTTTAAAGACTTCATGGAAAGTTAATACAAAGCACACAAAATTATGGAATTGCATCACAGAAACGAAAGATCAAGAATTTGAGGAAATGAAATTGTCAGCTACATAAACTGTGTACATGTGTAGGAAATAAATAACAATACGGGTTATAATAATTAGAACTTGGCTGAGAGTGGGCTGGCTGCTGAATATTAAGCTCCAATTAAATAAACTATTGATTCAACCATGTATATAGCTGCACACATTATATGCTAATACACTGACTACACTCGTATAAAAAGTCTTAAACTTGCGTCTTGCGATCTTCTGTTACATGTTATAAGCGACGAAAATGGGATCCAACTGGTCCGCCAAAAATCCGTCTAAAATACACAAAATAAGTAAATGACTACTTTTTCTAACTTATTTATGAATAATTTTGAAAGTTTTAAAAACCTCGAAGGTGCATCCGCTGCTTTTCGCCTCGAGAATTAATGGGAACAACCCCAGGGTCGACAACCACGACCACTCCCACAATCAAAAAATGTTCTTCAAGCACTGTAAAGTACATAAAGTATATCTGATAAGCCCCACCTCTTTTATCGGGAAAAAAATATATTTATACCACCACTTTGCTATTTACGGATTCATTATCATGAAGCGTGGGCGTTATATCGTAGCGTTTGAGAGAATAAGATAAGAACAATTTTGTTACCCTTACCACAATTCGTCACCAACGGAACAAGGTCAAGGGCTTCACTCTCACTCCCTTCCAACTCCACAACCACAACCTGTAGAAGAAATTCCTTGTGAGATTTTACCATTCTCCAATATCAATTTATACTACGTTTTCTTACCAACAAATTCGTCCATGTAAAAACGGCACTATAAAACGACATCAAGATTTAAATTCAGTATTTCTTTGCATTAGATTTAGTAGACCGTACCATTCTGAAACCTTCTTGTGGCATCGCAAAATGCATATCTCAATATCAATGGGATGATACCGCATTCCGCGTAACATAATCTATGTAATTATTATATTAATTAATAAAAATTCATGAAAATAAAGTCTAACTTTAACAAGTACCATTTTGAGATAAAAATTCTATCCTAATTACTTATCATAAGAATAATTTGTACAACAAAAACAGAAAAGAGAGCGTCGAAGACGCTGATTGTAAACCCAGCCTAATCAACTTACTGTTTCATCCAAGGCTCCAACAACAAATACGGCATCGTGAAGCTCTCCATCAGCTTGAACATTTTCAGTGCGCCGTAGAAATCCGACTGTTGGGAACAAGAAACAAGTTAGTACAATCCAAAGACATGAGGAGGAGGTTCTGGCGCAACAGGGAATGGTGGAGACTTTATCATTTCCCATGCATATCTCGAATAATATAACAGAGAACTTATGTGTCTAACGTACGATATCCAGTTCTGGCGTACACCTCTCCGGTGGTTCCTGAACCAATAAAGTACCGTAAGATTAGTTGATCAAGGTATAACTATCGACGTTTGAAAATAATAAACTCACCAGTTACAAGGCGTGCATTGAAATGATCTGCATAGCTGCTTTCATCTCCGAAGATAGTGAAATAACCACCTGTGAGCAAGAAAATAAATAAGTGGTTTATAATAAAATTCCTTGGGTGTAAGCCACCGCAAGTCTTATTTGTTGTCAAATGACGTACCAGACGTATGGGGAGACTGCACCCAAATCTGAAATAATAAACATTCATGGTTAACCTCATTTCACTAAAATAATGAAGTACAAAAATGTATACTTCTCCGAGGTGAGAATCGCCGCACTGTCCCTTTGTATCAGGATTTGCAATAATAACTTTGGTTCCCCTGAAATTGCAATGAAAGTTTGATTTAAAAGCATTTCGTTACGTATGGGAAATTAATTTTAACTTACGGTAGAAGTTTTCCTGATTCCATAAGACACAAACTATGCGGTGCTCCTCGTTCAACTAAATATAATTCAACAAAATATTAACCAAACATCTTTGTATGTTATCGATTATCAGCCCACCCAAGCCTTACCTAAAGTAACTCTGTCATTTCGAAGAGCTCTAAGGTCTACGTAAACGGTCGATGGCTCAGGACTAGATGCACCCTAAATAGCAAATATTCATTCATGTGAGATGCTAGCCAAGGTGACTTGCTAGATTGATACTAAAACGTATTCCTATCTGTACCTGCAAACAAATTCCAATGTTTACGCGACACCCAAATGAAGTGGAAACAGCTCGTGGGCTCAATCCTAACGGTCCGAACAGTTTAGCTAAAAAGTCAATTATACGTAATTTTATCGCCATCAAACTTTACAATGAATAGTTAGGATTATATAATCCTATGTAAATCAGTACATTTCCATACTGATATGCAGGGTGAAAAATGTCTTTGTAACTTACAAAAACTTGAGGTAAGATTGATTCGAGGCCGTTCTTCTGCGACAACAACACACGTCCGAACACAAGCTAAATTCACGTTCTTTTGCTTCAAGAGTCCCACTGATGAACCGAGGCCCTTTGTGCATAGTTCCATGACACCGTAAGAGGCAAATGTGTCGCGAACTTTGTATTGACTGACGGCTGAGAGCCACAGACTAGGGTTAACTGTGAGCAAATTATTTATGATTAGAATCAGTTGATGCATACGAGACTCGAGTATATTACTATAAGTGTACTAAACTAACCTTCAACTTCTGAGGGCGGTATCAATATTGAGTGATGTCCAGAGTACACGCTATTATTCAACCATCAACAATTTTAGTTTTTTGGATCATAATAATTAATTATTTTATGCGTTACTAAACTAAACTTTACCTGCTTAAACACCACAGTGCAAATCCGAGTCCGCAGTATGGGTCCAACACCAATGCGACATGGCGAGACTAAAAGCGTTTCAATAAATGAATAAATAGCGAACCAAGTTTTACACATTTTAACGAAATTAAAAATATTTATACTCACGGGATAAAGTTCACAAGCGAGCTTCATAGATCTGCACAAAGACGTGACAGCTGAATGGCTGCAACAAAATGAATTCGTTGCCAATTATTCTGATATATATGTCAACTACTACAATTAGCCACTTTTTCGTACAATGAAGAAAAGATAAATCATTCCTTACTGCACACGGATCATTCAATGTGTTTTACTTGTAAATTAGCTCACCTCATTTTAATTCCAGCCAGCATGCCAGTAGTTGAAACACTAAAGTCCAGATAGGCAATCATTTCTGCAGTCGGGGCACGATAGATATTTGGCAGCTAGAATAAGGCAAAAACAAAACTTATTAAATGTGTAGTTCATTGTTTCATGACAAACATCACCGGTTTTTTAATGAACTTTGTTCAATTGATTTACAAATCTTATGACGACTCGTAACAATTTTCACTTTCTGTTCTTATGTACTGACCTTCCGCTTGGGTAGATCATCAGTATCCAACGTTAGTGGCCAAGATTTTATATCCACCACATTACTAGCCTCCTGTAAATGTTAATAATATTCAATACTTATTTTTGAAATTTTCAGTTATTCTAGAAACCCACCTTTGACTTTAGTAATTTGATGACGTTTTGTGTCGACAAGATCAAAACAGACTTGCTGACTATAAAATTTCATAAGAATAAAATCATATCAATAATAGAAAATTCAACCTCTACTGACAATGGAGAGTCTGACTACTTGTCAGACTCTCACTGTCGGTCTCGGACGCTTTGAAAAAAGTTTCGTCTACGTACTATTTGCAATCATTGCAACAGTTGGTAACGTTGTTTGTAAATTTTGTGGATGTGGTGGTCTGACTGTGACAGGTACGACACCTAAAAAACGCAAAACAATTTATTTGTGACCACACAAAAATGCAAGGCAACAAATTGCTGTCGAAAAATAGCTAACCTGCATAAAGACAACCATAGAAGGCTACAATAAGATCCAGTCCTGTAAATAAAATTAATACATTACGTTCTTATGTGCAACAAATTTAATCTAATGTAGATAGATAAGTTGATGCCCTCACCTGGGGGGTAGACCAAAGCGACGTGATCCCCTGTTCAAAAAAAGTTAATTTTTAATGCTATCGAATAAAATTAATACTTTCATCCAAAACAAATAAACAACGTTGGGTTTTTTAAATTACCAGTGTTAACCTTTGCCCTGTCTAGCAGAAGACATGCAACTCGTTCAGCCCGTTTGTGTAATTGCGAACAAGTCATTGTAGTAGAAACGGCCCCTTTCGAGTTAAGCAGTGTGAATATTACATGGTCCGCCGTAGACGTAGATCTGTTTAGAGCATCACATTCAAACAATATTAACTACGCCATCGGCATGGTTCTAAAATATAACAGTTTACAAATATAAGGGATCCTTACCTCCACTTCAAAATCTCAGAAATAAACTGGTACTACAAATAACAATGAGATTCGTTGAGACAAATGCAAATCTTATAGTACATGTATTATGTTAATAGAAACCTTTTTAGCGGTATCCGAGTCTTCGTCGACAACTCCTAAATCTCTTCCAGAAGCGGAAGCTAAACGATTTCCTTGCACAATATTCCCTACCATTACACTGGCTGGGCCAACATCCGAATGGATCTCACGTGGTTTTGGTAAATTTGTTACGCAAGTCTACAAACAAATTGAGATTTAGAATATTAGAATTTAAGTGTAAATATTTTGTACGGTAGGAACTTACATGAGGACAAAGGAGTACATTGGCAGGATGGAGGCTACCATCGAGAAACCGTCTTTTTGTCTAAAAGAAAAGGTTTATTAGTAACAAAAATATTATTAGTTCCATTTAAACATTACGACTGATTATGTAAGTCAATTCAAACCTCGGACAAATGAATTCCTCCCAATGGTGTTTTCGGTAAACAATTTGGGTTAACCAACACCAAACAATAAATCCCAACTTGATGAATAGAATCAACAGCTTGCAGAACTCTCGATAACCATTGAAAACTCTGTGAATGTACGATAATAAAAATATTTTTTAAGAGTGACTTTATGTAACTTTTGATATTATGTACCTCCTCTTCGCTACAATCAGGCCGCTGTTCCGCAATTACGCAAATTCGTTCATCTCGCAGCACTTTCACACTAAAAACCGCAATTCTGCCCCGATAAATAAATTTCATTGGCTCCACGGCCAGAACTGTTGCAATAATGTCATCAGCGTTGTGCTTTCTACCGCTGATGCTCATGAGTCCAGTTCGAGAACCACAAACGAAAACTAATCCGCCCTATAAGAAACATATTAAAATCGTAAAATAGCTGTTACACGTGCAATGACATATATAGGGTAAAATCGGGGCAGTACCGGTCCCAAGAATCCTAATAATCCACTGCGAACGTACTCTGCATCGCTTATTGTCGTCCCATCAGCCTGTAACGGCTGGACCTTGAAGGTCTAAAAACAATTTGAAATTACCATTAAATTAAGTTAACTTATTATGTATCATGTATAATATTTATATTTTGTTCCGTAAATTCTGTAAACAGTTATTTTGACAGCCAAGAGTCTCTCAATTTTGTGTACCTGATTTGTAAGTCCCTGTAGCCCCCAGTATCCCGACCCACTCGCAGAGCTGTTGACACAGATTTCTCCAACCTCGTCTGTTTTGCATAAACTTGGTACGCCATCCATCCTGACTACTACTATCACAGCTCCAGGCATTACCTGGCCACAATCCTTCAAACAACAAAACGCACACATAAAATAAACGTACATATATGATAAACTCTCTGAAAAACAAGCATACCTGAAGAGTTAACGAAGTCAGCGAATTTTCTTGGTCAACTCGAACAACCCCATAGCTTAATCCTTGCATAGACAATACCTATAAATCACAACAATAGAACAGTAATTACAGAATTTCAACATTAGCAAGATGGTTCCAATTATTCCAATCAGCAGACTGGAATAATTGGAATGCAGATATGTATTTGTATGAATTAATAATTTTTAATAATCAGCACTTACTCCTCGACCAGTAGCGTTCACACCGGCTCGTCCAGGTCTAAATAAATTGCAAAGTGATATATTTTATACAAATATAAATCACCTGCCGCACAACTTAGGATTCCAAAATAATTAAATACCTTCGAAGTGATACAGTGAGAGCCTCTGAACTGGAAGCGCAAGGACAAATAGCATCAGGTCGTAATCCTTTATTTTGGAAAACCGATAGAAACTGATCACAAGAAGACACTGGAAATAACATTAAAATAGTAATTTAATGTTTAACATTATCAATTGCAAGTTATTATAATTTAATTGTCCTACAATCATACTATTTTTTACTTACACGACCACGGGTTTGCGCCATCGGAAACAAGGAGCAATCTCAAGGATGCTAAGCTTATGTCGCGATGATCCCTTGTAGCCAGCAACCCCCAATGAAGATCCCGAGATTTCACTACTGCAATGCTCGCTGTTCACAATTAAATTAAATTGTGATTAGCCATGAAAATATAAACATCATTTGGTCAACTTTTTTATAACATACCACGATATTTCGTAATCATTTGCATCCATGATGCCGGGTTGACCTATATGAATGAAGGAATAACATTAACAATAATATGGTATGATTGAGGATTGTGTATTACTTACTTTCATCAATGCGTATGGTATAAACTAGAAAAAATGTACAATTATTTTAATTTATGTCACTGAAAGATATTGCCATAATTAGAAAAATAATTAATTAATCAACTTACAATGACATGCATTCCATTGAATACCGATGTCAAGATACTGTGCCACAACCCAACTTCTCGCTTGAAATCTAAGACGCACACCATAACTGCAATTTCGTGTACGTAAGAATATAAAATAAATATTAATTAAATTAATCTTTACAACTTTATTCAATCAAAGATATAAATTTTTAGGTGTTCTACTTACCTTCGCCTTCCGTATAATTGCATGCTGTCGTTAGGCTGCGACAATGTGCTAATGTAGCAGCTCTGTTGACTGTGACTCCCATAACTGGTAAAATAGTGTTTAATTGGTTTGGGTAAATTAGTATAACATAACAATACTACAGTACTTATGTTAATTGTAACAAGTCTTAAGTATATCGATACATTTTTAATGTGAATATAAATGAGTACATACCACTTCCATCCCGGTCATTCGTGTACTGTAAATTAATTTATATATATATAAGTCACAAGAAAATAAACAAATTGTTTATTTTAATAAAGTAGATATAAAATATTGATAAAGTAGAATAATTATTATTCTACTTTATCAATTAAAAAACTGACCTCAGTGTAAGCAGGGGTTTCATCTGTCACGCGAGGCGATGGAGACCAATCTTTTGGAGTCTTTCCCAGGTGCTCCGTTACCACCCAGTTCAATTTTGGCCACCTTTGTGAATAGAAATATTTTTTTAATCACTTGTTTTGTGTTAAAATGAGCAGTATATTTGGGACATACGTATTATGAGCAAAAATTAATATTCATGAGAAAAATACTTTTCAACAAAACTACAATTCCTCGTGTGCAAAAACGGCTACAGCAAAAGGGCAGTCATTTTGCCACCCATTGTATCGCCATCGCCCCGATGAGAGGAGGATGGAGATAAGAGAGGATACACAATCCTCCTGACCAGTTCTAATTATCTAAAATTATGTGAATAAAATACCCACCCTTTGAATGCAACCACTTCTCCATTTGCAGCCATTTTAGGAAGCCCTTTCAGACAAAGTTCAGAAGTCAGAGCCACCGAGACATTGCAACTCCCTGTAAATGAAAAAAATCACATTTAACCGGGTCTGAATTTGGGAGTTACGGTTAAAAAATGCTTACCAAGAAGGAATCCAATTTGCTGAGATCCAGCGTCTTTAAAAATACATAAATTGAATGCAGTCGTCTATGCATAGTACAAATAGTCGTACTTGTTAAATTACTTAAACCTAAACTTACCCCTTCGTGTTAAAGGGACTTCAATAGGGACAGGAACAATGCCCGCAAAAAGACTGTAAAAAATGTATTTTATTATTGAGTTAATCATTTATATTTACTTGTTTAATTTATTTGAATAATTTGTTAGAGTGTATTTCATACCATCCGTAGAATATTGAAATAATAATAATATTATTATAATTATTATTATAATAATAATAATAATAATATTATTGAAATATAAATAACCTTAACCTGCCCCAGTCATACAAATCTCAGTGAGGGAGTCAAAAAAGCAGACACACACACACACACACAGAGTTGAACTGGCTACTCTTTGTATTGACGAGTAGTTTAGCTCGCATTTGCGAGCCACTTTTAAGCCCGTCAGCCAATCTCAATCTGCCCCCAGTGGTGCGGGAGTCAAAAAAGCACATACACACAGCCCAACTGGCTATTCTTTATCTGATGATTGATGATATTGATGGCGATTCATAGAAAAACTCAGTTTGGGAGTTACAAAATCAGAGTTTAAAAAATAAATTTATTAACGGGGCAAGAGTTTTTGTAAAGCCCAGCGAACAAATATTTTGAACGTGTATTAACGTGTAACATAAAACACTCAAATTTTCGGTTTTTTAGGTCCGTAGTTGTGGAAGAAACAAAGCTTTAGATTTTTCACTACACTGTTAAGACAAAAACATGACCGTTCAATTTAAGTATGGTACTCAAGCAAATCCAATACCTGGTCGAGATCCATTTTTTTACTACGAAAAAAGCACAATCAAAATGAGGCTTCTTACTGCAAACGACGTTGCAGGTATTTTTGTACATAATTTTATCCAATACGTCATTGTCTGATTTTAATTACGAATTTAACGCAGCTGTAACATTGCAACATACCACATTCACGCTCATTTTAGACAAGGAGGGGTCATCGCGTGAGATTACTCTAAATCACACAATTTCTAAGGACATTGTGCAGGGTTCAAAGGACACAATTTCAGCCTGGAAGACTCATTTGGCGCACATACCAATGGCCTGCAAAGTTCAGTGAGTTCTGTCTAATTTTAATACATATTTGGAATGCCAAAAAAAATAAATTTATTTTTTTAGAGAATTGGAAACATTGTATGGATGGGTATGTTCCCCTCAACATACCTACTCGTTGCATCTGTATACAACAGAGGATCAAATTGCAGAAGATTTGCGCAACACTTGTCGACTTTTGGGTGGTACCTTTGGGCACGTCCCGTTGAGTGCTTTTATTGCACTCGAGGAGTTCAGGGATGTCATTAAATCCAACATATCCGAGTGGTTGTACCTCATGCCAACTGTTCGGAGGAATTACTTTAACAATCCCCCTCCGCCTCCCGTTGTGGTTCTTTCGCCTCGCAAACTTCCACCACCCCCTCAATCGGAGTACAACATTGAAGATGATACAACCCTTGTGATAAAGTGCGATAAATGTCAGGTTAAATTGGCCTCTCAGTCATTGATGGATCAACATATTGAATTTCACTGAACCGTAGATGTGTTTGACAAGTAAATTTACTTTTTTTATGCATTCGTTAGACTCAAGTACATTTTATCAATAGGATGTAATTAACGATGTTATTGATATGTGTAATGATATTATTAGAAACGATGATAATTAGAAATGATGATATAGTTAAACTAATCGATACCTTCTTTAGACTATGTATGTACAATTACAGTGTAATTTTAGTTTATTTCCAATTTATTTATAAGATTTCACAAGCTTTTTTGTTTGTCTGACTAAGAATAAATTTACTGTTTCCTGCGAATTTACTAAAGATGTAAAATGTTTGAGTTTGTTTGGTTTAAAAAATAAATTTACTTGTGGTAAATTTACTGTCGAATTGGTAAAATTAATTAGACTCGGATTTTATACTCGAGGTTTAAATGTGTTCTTCGAATAGCACCATGAAATTTTCATTTTGATTGTCCTGTTTTTGGTTTGGCAGATTGTTGAGGTTTACGGCGTAGTTTGGAAGTTGGGGTTGGCGTTTTCGACGGAAGAAGTAGGTCAAATCATTGATGTAGTCTTGCTGATGACCTTGAAATGCATTATATCCTTGCACGTACATCATGTTTTTTGCTCTTCGGAGTGAATTTATCAAGTTCAGGTCCTCTTGTTCCAAAGCAATATCGACGTGTTGGACCCGTTGCAGTCTGTACGAGCCGTCTTGGAATTTTTTGAAAATTCGAATTGCGATAATGTTGTACATGAATCCGGTGGTCACAATGGAGATGGCTGGGCAGAATGCTGCAGATAATAAGGTCAGTAAACCTGGAACTCGGGGAAGCAAGGTGGTTCTCTCCAATTTGATGATATCCATTCCATCTCTTCTCTGGTACCACCTTGATCCAGCCGCAAGAACCAAGTGGCAATATCCCGAGTTTGGGGGGTCTACGTACAACAAGTCAAGATTAAATTGGGAAAAAATCACCATTAAAAATAAATTTACTTTTCTTACTTGCAAGTTCGGGGTCCACAACAACGCTGTTTACGCTGTTGGAATCTACGTAAACTGAACATGCTCGTAGTTTATCATCTGCAGGTTCCCACTTCACTTGCGCCGGGGAATGAAGCTTTCCAAACAAGTGGTGCGCTGTTTCTTGTCCCTCCACCTCTGAGAATGGGTCGTGTCCTGCAGATCCGCCTTCCAAACTCAGGAGACAACGATCATCAGAGGGACGAATGGTAGCAAGGAGTTCCAATCGGGCTCGTCTTCTCGACACAGCATAACCCTTTACTTCGGTAGCCCAATTCACGAATGATGAACCATCGCGAGAGAAGACATCTTCACACTCAAAGTATCCCTTTGTGGTACACTCTCTAGGGACATCGTCCAGCCGCAGTGTAGCTCCAAATCCACCATTATCTCGATTTTGCAGATGGGCCCTCATATTATCAGTATCGAGATAATTCCACTCGTGACCTTTGTGAGCTGGTGGGTTGAGGGACACCAGGGATACTCGGATGGCGAGCGGTGGTTGACTGAAAAGAATTCAAAATTTTAAATTCATCATTTAGTGGGGAAACAATAAATTTATTTTTTTTAAAAGACTGGCTTACTCAAACAGTTTTGGATATCCATAATTCTTTTTCTCCTCGTGGTAGAGCATAATGTCTCGTAATTTGTACCATTTACAGATACCCTCGTCGATGGTATGGACCATAACAAGTAAATTTATTGGGTCTTGCTGATGCAAGTGATCCGGGATCATGGATTTAATGATGCCCCGGTAGGCCATCATAGCGAATTTTCCGCCTCGGTTCTTACGAACGATGCATTTCCGGGTTGGTTTGATCATATTGGGACGGACTTCTTGCTCGGGATGATTTCTCCACAGCGTGTCCATTACTTGCTTCATCTGGTCCCACTTGTTGCCTAACGCGTAAGGGCGAATTCCGAAGCAGTGGGGATTCAAAAAGGTGACGAGGTGGAATATTTCACGTTTATTGAGAACGGGAAGCTCCATCGGTGTGAAATTAGGTTCCTGAACGACGCGACTGTACACAAAGGTTCATGAAATCATGCAAAACTAGATGACAAAAATAAATTTACTGTTTAAATCTACTCACTTTTGCGGACGGGAGAAAACACTTATCGATGACATGCCCAACAATTTAACTCGTTGAAGGCAACTGACGAGGCTAGTGTCGATCTTCCCCAAATGCAGTTTTTCCGAAGTAGGCTCAAATGCCACAGTCGCAAAGCGTTCTTGTAGCTTTTGCTGAGACTTTTCTTTCTGGATTTCATGGTAGTACAATCCTAAACTCGGAACTGCATGACACCCCTGAGACAGTAAATTCTGTAAATACGGCCCGTACGCAGGAAAGTTCATAGTTTCAGCGGATGAAGAGTTGTAATCCATGAAGAGATGGTTCAGGGGAAAGTTTTGCAACTTCCAAGCTTCGTGGAATTCTTCGTCTGGTTTAGAAATAAACCACATTGATGGGTCGTCTCCCGCAGAAATCAATGAGAAGAAGCATCTCGTCTTCATTCAGCTGATTCAATCAGAATAAATTAGACGAGACCAGTGTATTACGCTCTCATTTTATGGCAAAATGTAAAACAGTAAATTTATTTTTGTAGTGGGCTTACGATTGACTGTGAATCTTCGTCAGCCGGCGCCAGTAAATACATAACTGGGAATTCCGTGACATCGTTTGCGTAACGTGCAATTCTCCCATACACGTCCTGCACGTTGTCATCCATTCGGTCAATAACCCTCTGATTAATGGATAAAAAGTCTGATCTGGTCCACTGTCGCGTAGGTCGAGCCCCCGGAACGACTAGACCGTGAATTCTCGTGACCGTTTTCTTTTGTTTCCCATCATGCCGTCCATGAGGAGTTCTTTGAACGACGTCCTTCTCACCGCGGCTGCTGGCAGTGTTCGCTCCTACCAACGACGTCCGTCTTCGACCACATGCGAAAGGCTTTCAGATTGGCAAAGTCATCGGAGCAGGTCCGGAACGAAAAGTCCACTTTAGACTTCCAGTGCACTAACGAAGGGGTACTTGACTTGAACAAATCTTTGCTCATGTTCATGTGTTGTGCAACGATGATAACGGCGGATTGAAGGGTACCGGTCATCATCCCCCTCAAAATTAATTCCACGTGTTTTAAATCCATCGGAAGCTGCAAAAAATGCAAACAATAAATTTATTTTTCATATTCGAGTATTTTGACTGTAATTTAATCGGAGGGGAGTAAGAAATAACTTACTGAGCTCATCATTTGTCCTGCGAGGGTGAGATCAAATGCGTCCCACGTGTCTTGAAAAATAAATTTATTACGGATCAATCCACCTTTGTTGAGTAGACTTTGAAATCCTTCGTCCACGTGTAATTCATCTGGGACGGATAGCAACCCGTTGAAGTACGCACGCAAGAAACCAGCCGGAGGTTCCTGTGTAATTACATGTTCAAAAAAGTAAATTTACTATTCCAACAAAACGATTCATACTAAATCCTCAAATGCATTACCTGGTTGCGGTGCATCGTATTCATCATTGTAATTGCGGATAATATTACACTCTCCACGGGCAGTCTTTCTAATTCGGTGGGTTCAACCCTTTCTGGGTCATTGTTCCTTGGAGAGTGGATAAATTCTTGGGGGAACATATGAACGCAGAGACCAGGAGTTATTCGTCCCACTCGGCCTCTCCTCTGCACGTTTTGATCACGTGTCGCGAATGACAAACGAAGTTTGGGCAATGATTTTTCCCAATCGTAGTCAGAGATTTTGTGAAGTCCAAAGTTAAACACGATTTTTAGCCCTTCGATCGTCAACGAGGATTCAGCAATATTTGTTGCAATCACGATTTTTCTGCCTAATTGTTGGTCGGCTTTGACCGCATCTTGCTGTTCCGTGTCCTCTTGTTTTCCATGCAGAGGCAGCAGTCGATAATTTAAATGAGAAAAATTAGTTTCATATTCGGAAATGACTCATCGATTTCACGGACTCCAGGTACAAAAACGAGGACGTTCCCGTCTCGATAAGGAGCAAATTCGTTTGCCTGATCGATTCTGAAATAATAAAACAATGTGTTGGACCACATCAACTAAAACAATAAATTTATTTTTCAAAGTCTTGCAACTACCTTATCAAAGTGTTGAAAATGATCGGAATCATGGCCTTTTCAAACCAAGGGTTGGCAAATACGCTCATTAATTCTTCAATGTAATTTGCTGCATTGTCCCCTTCCACTTGAAGATCATTGGTGTATAGTTCCAAAACATCGAGATTTGCATTAAGGCCGTTGCCCATGTCCAGCACAAAATCTTCCACCGGCAGAGCCACTGCACCTCTAAAATAATTGACGAAGAGATGCGGATTGAAGGTCGCAGACATGATGACAATATTTGGAATGCGACGACCAGCGGGAACATTTTGCCGCAGGGTCTTGACTTGTGACATGACCACCTCCGTTTCTCTCCCTCGCTCGTGAACCTCGTCCACAATCACGGCCCCACACCGAAAGAAATATTCCGTGTTGCTAGCAATTTGTTTCGCAAGTAATCCAGCAGTGATGAACCACAATCTTGTGACCTCAGTGCCCACTTTGACGTGACCTCCTAAAAAATAAATTTATTTTTAGCTTCGACACATACATAATAACCAGACTCGCAAACAATAACAACTAACCTAGCTGGTAACCGACAAGGTCGGCCCGGTCACCGAGCTCGCGTCTCAATCGGTTGTAGAGCATGATTGCTGGTATTCTTCGTGGCACCACCACAAAGATGTCTTTATCTTGTCCAACAAGATCCAAAAAGATTTGGGGGATGAGGGTCGACTTGCCAGATCCCGTCATCCCAGTCACCATGAGGACCCCTCCTGTCCGACCCAGCACATCTTGAATACGAGGTCTGTATTCTGCCATGAGTTGTTCTTTATTTCGTGCAGCTGTGCAAGCACAAGAATAAATTTATTTTTACATCGCATTGTTATCTAGTTACGTTTTAAACCGTACCATTTCCACCACGACCACCTTCTCCGCGACCGCGCCCTGCACCACCACCGGCTCCACGACCACCTCCTCCACGACCACCTCCTCCACGAGCGGCTCCTGCACCAGCGCCGGCTCCACGCCCACCTCCTCCTCCTCCCCGAGCTACTACATGGGGGAAAACAAATAAATATATTGTACAATAATGTTGATCATAATCAGACAGATTGTTTACATCTTACGAAACCACCACCACGGGGCTGAGCCATTTTTTTCAAATTAGACGACGATTTTGATGAAAGACACTTGTGAAAGTTAAAAGTTGTAGAGTTTTGAATAATCAGAGTCAATCAAATCAGTCAGCAGGAGCAAAAAATTCTAAGTGCACACGAATCAAAGTTGAAAGTCTGAGTGAAAACCAATAAATTTATTTTTTGAGGTCAGCTCATTTCCAGACACTCGCGAGTAGCGAATCCGTTGGCTTGGCAGCAGACAGTTTATTCCCCGCGTCAGCTGAGAAAATGGAAGTAAGGTGATAAAGTAGTGAGGCGAGGACTCTGAATGAGTCAGCAAGAACGATGAAACTAAATACAAAGTAACAACGCAGATGGGAAAATGTGAAAACTAACAATTGAGTCGTATGAATTGAATTAAAACAATGTTTTATTAGTTCATAAAATTAGTTTAACAAAGTTCAACCGGAAATAAAGACTAATTCAATAATGGTAAGATATGAGGGAGTGTATCAAAGTTGGGGGTGAGTTTTTACCGGACCTAAAAATAAATTTATTTTTTGTCGGGTTTTCGAACATTATTTTGATGAAGGGGTTTGACAGCACACTTCCTCGACAGTCCAGACGCTTTAATGTTTGGTGTTATGTGGAGAGGGGTTGTCCACAGAACTATAGATTTCGATTTCGAGTTGGGTTTTTTTCCTCCAGGCTGTGCACATGATTTGTCTTGTCCTGATGCTGGAACCAAATCATTAATAGATTCTCCAGACGTGATAATAGGTTTATTGCGGGTCGCCTTGATAACTTCCTTTGAGTTTGTCGCAGTATGGGTTTTTACGTGTGCAGAGAAGTCCTTATACTTTATGAACTGTTCGGCGCATGAAGAACACACGTATCTAGGCAAAGACCCGTGATTTTCTGTTTCGTGTTTGCGTACCTTATTTCGTGTCCGAAATGTCTCTGAACAAAATCTGCGTTTGAAATTGACACCTAAATGATGCAGTTCATGGGTTCGCAAATTTTGAAGTAATGTTATACATTTTCCACATGTGCCACATGTGTAGGAATTGTTAGACTTAACGTATTTCATATTAGTCTGATGTTTTTTTGATGTTGCATGTTTCTTCAACGCTGCGGAACTAAAATAATAAAAGAGTAAATTTATTTTTCAGCCTACAAATTGTGTACCGAGCATAAACTTGTACCATGTGAATATAGTTTCGCAAACGAAGCATATGAATTTCTCCTTCGCATGTTGTTCGTGGAATGTGGCATGTGAGTTTAGCAAATTTTCACATTCAAATCTCGAAGGACAGCTGGGACACTGGAAAAGTGCAATGTTTTTGGTCTGAATCGTGAGGTCTGATTGAGGAGCAGGTGGAAGTTCGTGGGGAAGGAGAACGACATCGGGTAATAGAGGCGGGTTCAGAAAATATTCCTGCCGGATTTCAGGCATCAAATGCAGGCATTTCCGTATCTGTTCTTTGATTACACAAATGAATTCCTTGAATAGAAGAAAATCGTTCAGAGGTGTCATCGCAAAACAGCCACCCGTAAGTCGACGACACGCGTTCCTCAGCTTGTGTGCGAGATATTGATCTATCGTGTACATATGAAACGAGTATGTATGTGGTGGGGAGCATTTCCATCCGTAAAGTTGTTCTAATTCGCTGAAAATAAATAAATTTATTTTTCAATTCCAAGTAATAGTAACAAGTTGTTGGGACTCACACCACTTTGCACATATGCGCCCTCGTAGACGGATCCCACATGTCGGCTACAAAAGCGGAACCATCTGCAATATTGTGGTTCAATGTGTGATTTAGGCTTATTTCACGGGATGATCCCCCTTCATCCAGAAACAAGGTAAACGTAATGTGACTGAACGAACGATCTACAAGGAAAAAAAATACTTTGGTATTGTATCAACTGTTCGAAAAATAAATTTACTTGTCAGATCATCCTGAGCCAACGGTCTCATATCAATATCTTCCCCTTTGTTAAAAAAAGAGGGTCGACGCCAACGACCGGAATCTGTTGATTCCCACCAGTGGTCTTCACATCCATATCCATTCTAAATCAAAAGACACCATGTTTATGTAAACTATGAACCACCATCCAATTACGGTCGATGATAACCAGTTGTATGCTGGAAAGTATGTAACAATTACTCACCTTATAGTTCCATCAACAGATTACACCAAAAACCAAACAAAAATTGAACACTAATCGAAAGGATTTCCAAAGATAACGTTTTATTTAGGGAAGCAAAAGCCATGTCGATTCCTGTGTTGATCTCTTTCGTACTCCCGCTCAGTACGCAAGTTTGTGACATACGAGCGTTTGGCCCGCAAATTGCGAGCAGCAAGTTTTTAAGCCCGTAGGCTAATCTTTTGTTGCCCTAGTCAGACGGGGTGAAAATCTCGTCCACAAAAAGCAAACAACTTCCAAGTGGCTATTCTTTGTCTGATGATCTCCTTCTAAACACGAAAGTGGTACTATGAATAATAAATTTACTTTTTATCATGCATTCCATTTCATTGCACCATTTCCGACGTCCTGAAATACAAACTGCCCTGAACGCAGTCCTTTCATGTAACCGTAGCTTAATTGAATACAACAATAAATTTATTTTTACGCTGACATTAACAAATGTAGTTTTCACCGGTTGGATATGAAATCAGACTCATATTTTGAACACTTGAGCGTTGCATACGGGGTACAATTTTTTTTGTATTACAACTTGACACGTGGGAAAATAAACGCATACAAACACTGTGACGATTTCCAACCTCACCTAAGCAGTAGTTTTTGGTGTAATTTATTTTAAATATGCTTGAGGTAACATAGTGAGTCTTTCATTTAATTTTAATTTACTTTTTTTAAAAAAAATAGTTACTGCATAACCCCTCTACAACAACCCTGCGTGTTGTCCAACAATCCATGGTAAGTTCAAAACTGGTTCCACATTGTACAATTATTATTTGTATTGTTTATAAACTAATAAGTGCATGTAATTTTCACGCATCAAAATTACGTTCAGGAATCGTTATTTTATGGGACCTTTTATTACGATTGAAGTTTTATTTGCGCTTATCAAATTATGATTATTTACATGCATCCACCACACAGTCACGGCGTTTATAATGTGCTCTCATAAGTAATAATACTATTTTGTTTATGGATTCGCATTATTTACTCAGGTTGACTTCTAGTTTACTTATTGCCATTAAATCTCATCCGTTAAAAACCGGTCACTAAATTGGTTTTTTGTACTTGATGCATTCACAAATGAGTTTATTGCATGTGTTAAGAGAAAAAATGGGAGAATGTTCAGAAATTACCATCCGTAAAAGGCACACATAAAGTTGATTGGATCTGGAATTTAGAACACAGAAAAATGTAAGACTTTTAAAATAACATGGAATTATTTTAAGTAATTTGTTTCTCTCCGGTTATAATTAATTTCTATGTTGTAACTTACCATTGTTGGGGTAGACTAGAGCAACTCTTTCTCCGGTTTTGACAATACTTTCCCCTCTATGACCGGTTTTGTTGACCAATGCAAAAGCAATCTTATGTGAACGACTTAAAGCAAAGAATGTACACATAAATATTTAAGATACATTTACTTTAAAATATGCCACAAAAGTTTATCTTACGATAGGAGTTTTCCATATGTCAACGTGATCATCAACTTGCCATTTGGATCTAATACAGTTGCAACTGGAGCTTTGAACGTGGCCGATCCATAACGTTGGACCGCTGCCTCAAGATTGCGTGGTAGGCCAGATGGAATGGTTAGCTGTTCTCCTACCGCAGGAGACATTTGACTTCCTTCGGGAGCTGAAAAAATATGACCCACATGAAGAATTCCTTTAGACTAAATTCTCACTCAATCTGACTTCTTACCTGGTGCATTAGGATCCTTGTGCTTAGCTGCAATTTCTAATTCGATATCGTCATCTTCATAAAACTCGGGAAGAGGACGACGTTTTGGCCGTTTTAATGTATTTAGAAGCTGCTGAATTTTTGCGGAAACCTTCCACCTCCCAGTTCCAGTCAAAGTTCCTACAAATGCAATAATAATAATTAGCTTTTCAATATAAACCAAAGGAAGAACTTGAAGTACTCATTGGATTACACAGTTTTTTATAATTAAATAATCAGATTATGTACCTGAGCTTTGATCAGATGATGACTGACTTCTATTCTGTCGGTTAACTCTGTCTGCAGGTGCCAGACGCCTTGAGTTACCAGTGGAGGTCACATCTGGAGGCATTTGTGAAACTTGGGTTTGTGATTGATCTATAAAAAACAAGGACGGGAATAAGATTCGAGTTATGCAAAAACATTAAAACTGTGGAAATCCGTCTTTAAATTGTCATTTAATAAGTGAGATTTCTAGCAATACATTCGATTGATTTGATTTATTGATTAGACGCATGATGGTGTTCTTCCTATAGAAATCCCTAATATGTTTGAAAACAGACAGAAATGTCCCGAACAAACGTTCGACTGGACTGAAGAAAATGTAAATTGCGAGTCGCTCGGGTTGTGTGGCAGACTTACGTGCTCTTAGGTTATTCATGGCTTCCACCAAATCTGTAAGTTCAGGTCGACTATTTCTCTGAATGATTTGCTGTTGCTGGTTATACGCTTGGTGTGTCTCGGACGGCGCCTTCCGTTGTTGTTCATCTCTATTGCTGCGATGTTCAGGAGCTACAATTGGAGCTGAAACAGGCTTCTCCTCCCACCCAAGGTTACCTCCTGCCAAATTTCCTAAATTTGAATAGGTCAAGGTTGGTCCGGATCCATTTGATACTCTAAAAGTAACACAAGATATCAAACCGTGGAATACAGATATGCAACAAATGCCAAAACTAGTACACGTAAATATGTATTACCGATTTCTCTCTGGAAGTTTTGGAGGACCCGACATTTGTGTTTGTGAGCCGCTACTACTGTCAGAAATCACTAATGGTTGTGGAGTTTCATTAGTTACGCGACCTGCTGAACGTTCAGGTGGGGTTCCAGAATCTTGATCTTCGTGGTCACCTTCTTCGTTCCCAACGCTATCGTCATCCGTACTAGAGTCGCCTGTGAACAAAGTTGAGATACAATTAGTACTTTACTTAGACCGCACAGAATCAGAGCGTTGTGGACAATGAAATGTTTTTCTAGCTTAATCGTTTTATGTAAAAGTAAACAACTGTTGAAATCGCATATGTAAAAGGGCCAAATTTTCTTATAGCAGAATGTATTCGAAAATAAATTGCTACACTACAAACTACAGCTCTCAACAACCACTCGGCATTCTTAAAATACGTAAATGTCTAGACTTGGATTTCATACATGCATGCAACACTAACTGATGAATAACTCGGAGAAATCTTAAACGTTGCATTGATAAATAGTTTTGTTTGCATAGTCACTCACACCACCAGTGGATGCATTTTTTAATGTTGATCAAACTTTGAAAGCAATGCTCCCGAAGCCAGACATAAATTCTTGTCCACATGAGACAACGATCGGATTGACTCTCCCAACGTAATAATGAGAAAAGATTACCTAAAGAATCGCTCTATCTTAAAATCCAGAAAGTTGCACCACACGTGTATTTAAATCTGACCAAGGTTAAAATAAGTCCTTTAGAAACTTTAAATGAGTAAGCGATGAGCTGTCGAATGTTGTGTAAACTGCGCAAACCTGAAGAAAGAAGCCTTACAGAAACTTAAACACGCAATATACCCGAAATTCAACGTGCACTTACATATGTACAAGTCTTGTACTTCACAAAACATTAACTACTACACAGTTTCCATATTTGGCTTAATTTATTTGAACTGGGTTCAATCAACACATTGTATTATGCTTTCCTTGTAGTGACGATAGTACCAATGCATGTGTAGTGCAAAAACTATTCATACTTTATTACATGAGGTGCATTGCTACTTTGTGGAAAGAAAAAGTATTTACACTCATCCCATAATCACGCTCTGCTATGAAGTCTTCATGAATCGTATCAATTCAAATAAGCAAAATAAACCCCGCATAAGTATGTGCATGTATCTGTTATGTATGTATAACGCCATTTCCTAAACTATTGGAATTTTATGGACAAGGAAGAGATAGTCTTCAAATTTTAGTCCATGCATACGCATGTAAACGTGTACCGTATTTGTAAAGGCTTGTAACCGCAATAAGTAAACAGCCAATCGTGCATATACATATGTACATAGTAAGTTCAAAACCGCAATAAAAACGACTGTCGTTGCCAAGATCTGCCATTCTCGTTTAAACAAACTAGGTAGTGAAACGAGTAATTTAATTGGGCATGAAATCCATTAGTGGTCAATAACCAGTGCCTCTGTCATTTGTAATAAGACGAATGAAACATATTGTGAAAAGAAATTATTTGAACATAATAAATTGATTGATTCAGTGGCCCACTTACAGCAAACCTTGTAAAAATAAGTTTCCACGAAACACCTCCCAGAATCATTAGGGATAAGTAAGTTATCTCGCAAATAATTTCCAAACTTTCAGACAAATGTCTAAAAGTCGGGAATTCGTTGTCTCGCATCGCAGCTAAGGGAGGACATTGTACATAAGTGCTATTTATATACATTATAGATTTCCCATCTTTCCTTCCTTGTTACCAGGTACGCCACTCAACTGTCAAGCAGATCAGTTTCCAAACGCAAGCTTGTTTGGTCTATTAAAGAAGGAAGTGGCACAAAATCATCCCTCACTTCTCCGACTCCAGAAGTAATCTACTAAACCCCATTTTCTATATGCTGCCCCCCTCAGCTTTCCTTTCCAAAGAAATGCAATCAACTCGAGAGCAAAGAAATACTTTGATGTGCACTTATGGATGATTGTCATTCCAAGAAAATCCTTCCCAAAAACAATGATCCTTAAGTCATTAAAGTTGTATCTTACGAGGAAATATGGGCATTCTTACTGTTTAACCAAGGATTTCTCATCATTAAACTATGCAATTAAATTATGAAGTTGACTTACTGCCGACCTTTCCAGGAATTTTGTTCACAACTTGAAAATTTGCAAATATGTACATACGTTTAGATGCATGTGGCGTCCTTAAATTAATAATAGCGTCCCTTCCTCATATATTTATCACCAAAATTTAACCCGACGAACTGGTGGTTAGACAATACACATAATTAATGTGACAACACTTTCTCTTCTCGTTTTCCACTCAGTACTCACAGGTATTATATTTCTAGTGATAGGCTTGTTGATAGTGTTAGGTTACAAGAAAAGCACGATTCCTTTATCAATACTCGCGCCCCTTTGTTGAATATCATTCCAGCAAAAACAAACTAATTGCTTGGGACAAAAGTCAGCACACTAAGCAGTTTCGCGACTACAACGATACACTTTAAGACAGTCTATCAATACTGAACAGACAAGAACCTGAGAAGTAACTGTAATCATAATCGTGATGAATCATCAGTACCAGCAGTAAAGAATGTATGTATTTATGTATGACTCCTCAAGGATGTCTCGTATCTTACTCGTTAACCACAACGATGCACGTATTTATACAGTGCAAAATGCAATGCAACGCTCTTGAGTCACCTATCGATGCATGAACACCAAGAATGACCAACTTTATGTTAATTAAATGAACTTATCCCAAACAGGATGATATCACTAGACAATCATAAAGGATCTTATGAGGTGGTGTCCAAAAATAAATTTACAGTTTGCAGAAAAACTGTTGGATTTTTAATTCCAGACAAATTCGGGACATATATAAAATGAAACCCACCTGGCTGGTAGCCCCCTGGACAGTTTCGCCTGGACGGCATTGGAAGTGATGGTTTCGGACGACTTGACATTGCAGCGAGCGCTTGTTGAACCGCTTCCTGGCGGACCTCTGCAAAGCATAAAATTAGTTCATTATTGAGGCTAATAGATTTACACAAAGTCGTCAGTTATCAAATCAATTACAGACCTGAATGGTATCTGCTTTCGTTTCTGGTGACATTTCTATTAAAATTTAGTGAAACGCATGTTAGAATTTTTAATTTTTAACAGTTACATAATGAGTTTTATGGTTATTTTACCTGTGTGCCCTTCTTTTGGCCCGTGTGCTTGGACTTGCAGCTCCTTCACTTATCTTGGGGGCTGAAATAGAAAAAAAACACGTTAGTCACACGCATGATTAAAATTCCAAACAAATTGGTTTTAGCTTAGCGAATTTACTGAAATACTACATTGCTTGTTTAGCTTATGTATCACCATACTTCGTTCTATTCTAATCTCCACATTAATCGTGTTAATCCACTCCACATTTTTCACTAAACTTTTCCCATCTAGTTTCTCAAAGCAATGTCTTAATCGATTTTTGGTTACAGCGTACAATTTAACAATTTTTTTTAACGATATCTTTGAGCTATTCCTCTAAGTAAGCAAAATCTATTCATGAGCAATGTTGGGCAATTTCTCTTTGCAAAATTAAAAATTTACAAACAAATCTTTCTCCATGATGCAATTTCACAACTTTCCTTTATCCAATTAAGTCACTTCTAGTTTCCTCCTAAAACTTTGCTTTATATGCATGGATAATTCACTCGTGCCTTCACATAGGTAAGCCTGAACTATGTATTCATATGCTCTGATGAGCAAACAATAATAATAACAGGGCGGAAATGAGCAAAACTCTTACCCAGGACTTGTTTCGGGGCGTAGGGTGCCAGAATACGGGTTTTCTTCTTCTCATAACCCTTTTGTGTTATATCACCTGAAAAATAAATTAGAACATTGTTACGAGCTTGACAAGTGTTAACAATATATTTGAGTTATAGGATATACTTCGAGAAATCAGAGCCAATACACATTTTTGTTTCATTTATATTCGCAGAAGAAATATTGGAACTAGATCCTGTACGTGATAGGACATAAAAATTAACCAAAGTCATCAGCAATACAACTCCTCTGGGTTGGGAGTATGCTTTTAATAATGTAATGTTTGGTTGCATCAAGCAAACCAAACCAAATCTTATAATGGCTGATAAGTCAGTACCCAGCCAACAAGTACATCTTATCACGATCCTGGAATAATTTAATTTTTGGGTTGTATATTGAATGAATAAGTTACATTATTATACGTCGGATGTGGCCATGATCGGATTACATGTAGTAATTCGATATGATGAGAAAGCATTGCATTTTACATGCAACATAAGTACACAAATCTACATAAAATACAGCTATAGTCGCTCTGCTGCTGCTGGGTAACGAGACACAAGGGAATGAAAGGTAGTAATATATGTAGAACATTGAAACGCTGATGTAATCGAACAAAATGAGTCTGGGTTTCTTCCCTTCGCTGTTGCATCCTTTTAACAATGCTACAGATTTAGCAGCCTACATCACAACATCTACAGATTTAAGTCATAACAATTATACTGATAGGCTCGATACGACCACGTTGTAATTAAAATGCTCTCGTATATATCCTATATGCACCATTTACATCTAGCATGATTAGGTAAGCGGTTTTCTAACAGCCTGCCTCCTGGAATGTGATCAGTGATGCAGTTTTCCTATGAAACATTGGTTGACCTAAATGAGGCACCCCGTAATTTGAAGTGGATATGCATATCGCTAGAATATTCTCGGGTAAACATTTCATGAAGAAAGTTGTAACTTTAACTTTGTGAGACAGCCCTTTCCCTCTTTCCACCATGGTCAATGCCGCAACCAAATTGAATTATTCAACTGCACTGTACGTACACCATACAAAGTGGAAAATTGCATAAGCCAAATTTCTTAAAAAAGGTAAATACTTTAACTGAGCTCAAGTTGAAGTGTTAAAGTTGATGAAACCAGTCCAACAGAACTTTAGTTTTATATTAAAAAAGTATTTACACATATAAGCTACAAAGTACATAAACTTTAAGTCTGCTGTGTTCTTGATTTGAGATTGTGATACATGTGTACACAAGCTTTCTCCGGTTCGAGTTTTAGCGAAAGTTGTACACATATAACAACATGATTGGTTTACTTCGACAACTAAATTCAGTTCAAGTGAATTGGTGAAATGGATAACAAGAGATCACCTGAGTGCTTTTCTGCATCCATTAAACAGAAATAAAAGAACCCCCTTCCACACTTATGGTTTAATGGATTTTCATGCTAACAAGAAAGAAAGAAAGAAAGTGCTCTTTCCCCTCCAGAGTAAACACTTGTGCACGACTTTTGTTAGTAGTACCCACTACTGAGTGAGTCGCAATCAAGTATATTACGAATTTCAAACCATCTTTCAATCTGTAATTTCTCCTTTCTGTATTATTCCAAGAAACTGTGCAAAATCAACAAAGAATTCATTATTAAGGGATTATACACCTACATACATATGTACATATCTCGACTATATTTGGAGAAATACATGGATTTATTTCTCTCGGAAATATTAGTATGAAAGATTCTTTCATGCTTATACAAATATAGTGAAGTGCTAATATTGAGGGTAAACTTCAAATTAGATATCAAGAAAATTAGCTTCTCCTGCTTGATTCAATTACACGCTTTCCAACGCTCTTACAAGTTGATTAGTTGATTACCCCACTCCGAGATTCTACTTTGGACAGTGTGCAATTTCCGATAAAAGATTAATCATGCTCCCGTCCACAACGTCCTTACCACATTTCACGTCATCATCACTCGTCGAGGGCTCTTCTCTTGTTTCTTCCAGTTCTTGCAGCCATTTGTAGAGCTCTTCGAGGTCAACCCAGTTATCACTGTCAGCGTTATGACTCCTTGGAGGAACCGTAGGCGCTTGAGCCGAGCCTCTGACACCACTCAGAGGCTGTAAATTCGAAACCATTCTTGGGGGCAGAGAAGCAGGGTTCGGGGTCCACCGAGACAGATAGGACGGCTCCACGAGTCGTTGACTAGGATATGATTTGTGTGTTGGTGGAATTGGATGGGGCAGAGGGCCCGCTCCGCCACCGCCGTTAACTCGGCTACCCTTTTGCTTATTCTCCACGAACATTGTTCTTCACAAATAATACTAAAGTTATCGCACTGGTAAACTACTAATAAGGATGCGCTCCGCAGCCAAGTTCCTGTTTTCGTACTAGTGCTCACTTTTTAATGAACAGCGAGCAAAACTAAGTATGAAGACGCCTTTCTCTCGCTCGTATACAACTTTCTCCATTGCCCCAGAAGGACGAGCACATTAAACAAGACGACGGAGAATGTACACTGATAGTTGAACAAAGAGTACCATTATAAATAGTACTAATATATATGTATATTCTCTTCTCTAGAAAATTATATGGTGTTGACACCCCCAGCAAAACAATCAACAGTCGCACCGGTCATTAAACGTAGTATCCGTCCAAGTGGTCTGATCTATGTATCTGTGTTGACTATGAAATGAAATAGTCGTGGATTATTGTGTTTTCTTTACAATACGGCCAACTTTGATTATATGTAAGCTCCTGCAATCGGTAACTTATTGCATTCTTTGATACGACGACTTGGCATCAAAGGAAGAATGCCAAGTAATGAGATGCGATAAAAGCAGAAGAGGATGACAGAAGGATTCCCCAGCCAGAACTCTTTCCTCGCACGGCGTGCACCTTGTTTGTTTGGAGGACGCTTCTGAATAAAGTCAGACTTCCAAAATGTTGGAAAGTCAGAAGTCAGTCAGGACAGGAGGAGTTGGTTATTTGCTGGGTTGTTGGCTCAAGGAAATGCATTTAAGCCGTTCCTAGTCGCGTAGCACACCTTCCTTCCGTTTTTTATTGGAACGACAGAATGAGATGCTCCTCCGGCTTATCTTCTCCACCACCCGTGCCCATGCCATTGCTCAAGAGTGTGCGGCAGAATTACTGTTAAAGATAATCAACCAGCCAACTGCTCCTTGCAACACGCACGTACAAACTCCCGAATATGTATGTATCACAGATCACAGATGTTGGATATGATGAGGGTCTTTGGTTCTTGATATTTAATAAAGTCTGAGACAGAGCTCCTTTGTTTCTTATATTCTCTTATGGCTTTATTCAGCGCTGATTACGTCTTCGAGGTACTCATACATATGTGAACTTGCAAATGGAAAACTACTGCCAAGTACCAGCCGAAAACACAACACACATTTTACTCGTATGCACAAAACGAGGTTCCAAACTTTTACTTCTCACAGGAATGTGGACTAATTTGCTTCAAAGTTTAGCACGTGCCTATAAAAATGGGTTTTGGTGCTTTGTATTTCAAAAGCGTATCACATTCAGTTTCAAAGTTTGTTAATTTAGCTTTCTTTTGTTCTTGTTGAGATGATAAGGTGTGTTACACACACGGATATGTTGAACACAGATGCACAAGGTTGACGTTTTACTTTGATAATTTTTTTGATTAAGCTTTTTGATAATTACAGCGATCAACAGACTGTGTGTATCATGGCGTGGCGTGGCGTGGCCGGGGTCAGCAACTACTGATGGTGGTGAAGGCTGCCTCAATTCATTCAGCGTATTTAATTATGTAATGAAGAAGCCTTTAAAGATGACTGCAGGAAGTTTTATGTGAATCTCTTAGAGAACCAATGCGACAGAATTATTTATCCTTGAATTCCTCCGAGGCAATTAATTTTATTAACGTTCAGTCAATTTGATGGTGATGGTAGCCTGATCCAATTGCGTACTTGTGCTGTCTGCCACGATCCAACAACGCAAGCACCACTGAAAACCCATTGTAAAATCTAGATATTTAAATCAATAGGAGCAGGCACGATAACTCAATAAATGTCCCTTGTTGTCGCTTTTCCTCCTGACAATGTACCATACGCACAAGTCAGAATTTATATTTATACTCCTCGTACAAATACTGCATAGGCGTACTGAATAGAACGTGTTACGTATTATTCACTCCTTCCATTGTCCATAACCTTCGATTATACGGTCAGCGATATTTATATATATATACACTTCTGGTGCTAGTTGCACTGATGATTACATAATTCGGGTAGGTTGTTGCTCAATACACCTAAACTGACAAAGAAATTTTGTCTCGTTTTTTCAGAACCAATCGTTCGCCAGCACAAAGTGTACCGAAAAGGGGGAGAAATACATTGCCAAATTTTTGGTTTTCTATTATATTTGCACCAGCACAGACTGAAGTACAACTGATTATTGCAGGGAACCTTTTGAGAATAGTAGAAATGCGAAATTTGCAGCTGCACGTTTCAGACGATGACATCAACTGCTGAATTTGGCGATAATAATAAAACTCACTCGTCCACGAATCCAATAACCAGCCAAGTAAGAGTTACTGATGTTCAGTTTAGAATTGCTGTGCAATTTAGACAATAATATTCCATTGCTGGGTAGCGTGGCGGCATGTGATTACGCAAGACGTGATTAACTAACTGGATGGCTATTAAAGGAAGAACGAACGTCTTCATTGTCAGGTTGCAAGTATAATATGATTATCATTTAGGTGAGCGATGAGTGAGTGAGTGAGTGAGTGAGTGAGTACGAGTAGATTTGTAGGGTGGTGACTTGACGGTGATAAATCGATCTCTCTCGATTATTACTTGTTGCAATTAAATTAATATTGCTGATAACCGTGTCCATCTTAACTTTTTCATGGGATAAAAACCCCTCTCTCGTTTTACCAACGCTGAAAACGTGAGTTATTGTTATTCTTCCATGTTTGGTGTGTAGCAGAAAGAGAGATACCAGCAATGTTAGTACATATGCGTGTAATAATGTCTGCCTCTTGTTATCGCTCAAT